TTCCTCTTGTTTTTTACGTTCTTTTTCTTCGCGTATCAACTTTTCATTTTTCTCGTTTAGCTTACGTTCCTCTTCTTCTTGTTTCAGTTTGTCAGCTTCTTGTTGCTTTTTACGTTCTTTCTCCTCGCGTTTTAACGTGTCAGCTTCTTCTTGCTTTTTACGTTCTTCTTCTTCGCGTTTCAATCTTTCATCCTTCTTTTGTTTAAACTGCGAATCTTTGGGTTCCTCTATTTTGGGCTGTTCCTCTTCTTTTTCTTGCAGTTTAATTTCATTATCTTTTAATTCTGTTCGATCCTTTTCTTCATACGTATCTACTCGTACATCAGTCGTCCATAAAAGTTGACCGAATAATAATTTATCGCGTAGATCGTTGAGATTACTTAGTAAATCGCAAAGAGGTTTTTCTAATATCTGCAAATGATTGCTCGTCACATCTTCTTCTTTCGTTGTTTTAATGGTTCTAACGGTAGCATCGAAATCACACAAGCATGGAGATAAAAGTTGAAGTATTCCAATGGTTTGCTTCTCGTCAATGTCTATCGATCGTGTATCTGATTTAGAAGAATTTTGCTGTTCGATGACAGCAACAGATTTATGAATTTTATTAAGAGATTCCAACATGAATCCTTTTTCGATCGTTCCTTCTTCTTGAATTTTGACTATACATTTTTTCAAATCTTGAACAGACGCGTTGAACATTTGTAATTGTTTGCATTCAATACATTTGTCAATATTTGCTTGTCCAATTCGATCCTTTATCTTATTTTCTACACTCTGAACAGATTCATTAATGCCGACAATAAGATCTATTAATTTGATCGATAGTCTTGTCATTTGAATAGATGGTAACGTATGCCGAGTCACCGAATGAATTGCCATTAAATTTTGTTGAGCCGTTGATATTGTTTGTAGAACTGCGTGAAGATTTTTCAATGGTTTTTCCAAGTTTTGAAGATACTTAGTCGAGGAATCCTCCACCTTTACAATCGACTCTTTTAATTCCATTAACGGCAATCTCAAGACACTTATCACGCTTTTATCTACTTCTGCGCCATAAAATGGCTCAACGAGTGGCTTATCGACTGCTTGTTCCTCCAGAATAGAAATACATCTCTCTACGTTAGAAAGAGACTCGGCAATGACGTCGATGTTGGCTTCCTCTTCGGATTTTTCGAAGTCGGCTTTGTCTCGCAAAAGAGAAAAGCTAGCGGAAACAGCTTTGAGCGGTTCTACGAGCATCTTTAAAGCTTGATATTCGATCCTGCGTTCAAGAGCCATTTCCTTCGGTAGGATCTCCTCTCCAACGTTCAATATCAAGGCTATGATACCTTCGACCGGTTCTATCAACTTGTCGACAGCAATCCGGTCTTGCGGGCTAATTCGACTTTGTTCATCTTCTTGAACCGTATCCGCTTGAATGGTGGTAACGCATTCGCAAATTTGAGCTATCGACTTTTCGATTTGGTGCAACGGCGCGACCGCCACGCATTCCGCTGTCGACCAATTGGGTCTGGATAATAAATCTTGCGACAAAGACTCAACATCCGGAGATATAACGCGTTCCTCCAACACTACGATGCTCCTCTGAAGATCGAGCAAAGGTTCGGCCAGGACGCTCAAAAATGTTAACTCCTTCTCGGCGGGACGTTCTTCTTGCAAACTTTCAACGAGCATTCGATCCTGAATGATGGCGATCGAGCGGCAAACTTCTTCGAGCGGCTGGATCAGAGGATCTATCGACATCGGCGCACCCCCGAACGCCTTCTCTCTCGTCGATTCGATGGCCATTTTTTCTTCGATGATCGCCGCGGCGACGTTTCTCAATTCTAATAATGGCTTCGCGATGGCCTTCTTCGTCGAGGAACCGAGAACCTCGAAAGGACAAGTGCTTTCGGTGGTTCTTCGTTCCTCGACGATCACTGCCAGGAATTCTCGCAATTCGTCGAGCGGCTTAGCGAGAGTCCTCAGGATTGTCCCTTCCTCCTCGGAAAAGGGGGACGCCGCTTCGGTGGGACTCTCGACGGTACCTTGCTCGACTATCATTGCTCGCGTTATCTTCACCGGAAGTTCTTCCTCGCCGATTTCCGCCGCCCAAGTCTTAATCGAGGACGCGCCGCCTTCGGACATCGTGTCGGGCGCAGCCTCGAAGATCGCTTCTTCGTTAAATCGCGATATGGCGATTCTTTCCGCCAAATCGTATATAGACTTGGCAAAGGTCTCCAAGGCATTCACGTTTTCCGTCTCCGACAGTTCCTCCAAATTTCCTTCGGGAACGATCGCGGCCACCTTCTGGACGGCTGCTATCGATGCCCTTAATTCGAGCAACGGCTCGGCTATCGTTTCCGCGAAGGACAGATTTTCCGTGCTCCTGGACATATTTTCCGCTCCTCCTTCCAACGTTACTTGCTCTTCTATCGTCGCTAAAGTCTTGTCCATTTGTTCGAGTACCGGGAGAAGGGACAACCTTTCCGCGCCTCCTTCCGCGCCTCCTTCCGCGCCTCCTTCCGCGGTTTCCGGAATATTTTCACTTTCCTGCGCGACCGCGTGTTCTCCTTGCATAACGGCAACAAATATCTTTTCCAATCGTTGCAACGGTTCCACCAAAGTATTTAACAATCTCGTCGACATCCTCTCTTCCGGCATTTTCAATTCCTCGGCTTCGTGAAGTTTCGTTTGTTCGATCGTTACTATCGACTCTTGTAAAAGACGAACCGGGGAGATAATATCCTCGAGTATCGCTACGTTTTCTTTTACCGGGGTTACTTTACTAAGGGCATTTACGATCGTAGGTTCTAAAAAGATCGCCGTACAGCATTTCTTAACTTCTTCGACAGTTTTTGCCATATCTTGCAAAGCCGAGATCGAGATACTTTCTATGTCCGAAAGATTTTCCTTGAGATCAGCAACGATCATTGATTCGTGAACGATCGCTAGGGACGTTTTCAGATCCTCCAGAGATTCGGTGGCCTTCCTCATTAACGACAGACTTTCGGTATCTTCCGTCGAGGATAATTTCTTTTGACCGATCATAAGATATTCTTCGGTATCGTGCACGAACGTTTTCAATTTTTCTAAAGTCGGCCCTATGGATTCTTTAAACGGAGGACCGTCCAACCGTTCCTCAAGGACAGACGAAAATGTAGTTTCCAATGATTCTAATGGTTCGATCCATTTAGTCAAAGCAAACGCGAGTCCAGTCTCTTGCAAAGTACCCCCCGTCTTTTCGATTTCCTGCTTTGCCAAATCTGCGACCGTTTCTCGCAATTGTTTAATCGAAGACGTTGCTTTTTCGATAACTTTGCTTTCCTCGATCTCTTTGATTCCCTTTGATTCGACTTTGATTTGTTCGAGTTGATTTGGTACTTCTTGTAACGCGGCACTTTGAGAAGTCGATACCAAACCGATTTCGGTTTCCACGAGTTGTTGGAACGACGCGGTCGAACGTTGCAATTTTTCTAGAGACAAGGTTACTTCTTGCGCAAAGGTAGCTTCGCACGCTATCTGCTCTTCGATCGTGGCTATTGATTTTTGCAATTCCTCTATAACTGGCGTTACGTTTGCTCGTTGCAAAGTAGCTTGTTTCAATTCTCCCACGCTTTCATCCTGCGCAGTTATGGTTTCAACTCGTTCGGTCGCTAGGAAACGCAGCGATTTTTCCACTTCCTCTAAAGAATGAATGAACGCTCTCTCTTGTTCTTCTTGTCCTACTTGAGGAAAAGATTCTCGTAATTCCTTAATCGGAACGATGATATCCTCGATCAATTGAACGTACGAACTTTGAACGGAGGTAGAAAGAGGTTCTTCTTCTTTACTGACTACAGCGGTGGTGCATTGTTCCCGCAAAGGTTCTCTCGCGTCTTCGGTTTCGACAAGCACCACCGATTCTTGAACCACCGATTCTTGAACCACCGATTCTTGAACCACCGATTCTTGAACCACCGATTCTTGAACCACCGATTCTTGCACCACAGCGGCCGTCGATACTTTCAACGTTTCCAACGATTCTTTGGTCTCGTAGATCGGCAGATGATCATCTTGAACATTTTCTACGGTTTCCGTAGCGTCCTCGGGTATAATTTTCTGTTCGTTTATCACCGGTTGTTGCAAGGCATGGACGAGCGTTGCCGATTTCGCATAATCGATAGCGCAAACGGTTTCCCTAAGGTTACAAATGACATTAACTAGATTCTCCACCGTCATCGATAATTTGTTCTTTTCCTCCGTCGTTAGTCTCGACACTCCTTCAACTTGAACTACAGCGGAAAATGATTTCTCTATCGACTCTAGAGGATTTATAAGATTCTTTAGAGCAATAAGCGATTTTTCTTTAAGTTCGGGTACGAGATGTTCTTGCGTCAGAAGAAGAATACTAGCCGTGGCTCGTTCCATGGTATCCACGGAATTGATTATGTTCGAAAATAGATCTTTCGAGTTGGAGTATGCGGAAAAGGCGGGCGTACAGCGTATGGAAACGCTCGTCGCTCGTAAATCGTTTAGTATCTGTATCAAAGCCGTTAGTTCTCGTATTTTTCTATGTTCTTCTTCGGATTTAACAGTCAGCGGTTCCTTCTTAGCGGAATTTATGAATTCGGTTAAATCTTTCATAGGCGTTTCCAACGTTCTCAGGGTCGAGACTATTCGTTTAAGTATCTCGGTATTTTTATCAACTCGCGTACTCTCCCCTTTTGATTCGAGGAATTCCGTTTCCTCGCTTTTAACGTCTTTTTCCGCTAAAAATTGTGGCTCGCTCGTGGTCGAAGAAATTGATTCTACCGTCGGTGCCGCTGTTGCTGTTTCTCGATTCCTTTCCAAATCGGCTCGTAACATTTCTTCGACGACCATTACGCTTTCTACTTCCTCTTTAGATACTTGAATGATTTCATCGACGACGACGACGGTTACCTGCGTTGCACTCGATTTCGACTCTTTGTTTTCCAAATCTCCTATACTTCCGGAAGAAATTTGCTCAACAATTTGTTCCTCCTCTTGTTCAACTATATTTTCAACTTTCCGTTCTTCCAATTTCATTTCAACATTTTCATCTTTTATTTCCTCTTTCGTCGCTCCATCGTGTACTTTTTCTCGCAACGCTACCGTTTCCAACTTTTCACCCGTCCGTTCTACGACTTTCAATTTTGCTCCCGATTCATCACTCTCTCGAATATTTTCATCAACTTTAGTCTGCATTTCTTCTTGTTTTTCCACTTCGAGTTTATGGTGAAATTTTGTTTCCTCCACTCGTTCGTCTGGCAAATCCATGACCTCTTCGATTACGTTGCTTTCATCTATCATTGAACCAAGGGCTTCAGACTTCTCTGGCTGATCTTCCATTCGTGTTTTCTCTTCGTGCGATATTCTTTCATCTTTTTCGGTCGACTTTGCCTCTTCTTTAATTTCAATCTTTTCTCTCAGAGAAGGAAAGCCCGTTTCCTCGCGTTGTTTCGATTCTTCTTTCCGTTCCGTCTCTTTGGTATCAACGATCGTCTTGGTTTTAATCATATCCTGAATGCTCGTTATGGAAGTTTTAACATCCTCTAATACCTCCAAAGCAGCGGAGAACGTTTCTATGATGGAGGATCCTTCCGACGCCCCCTCGCTAATCAAACCTGCTCGATAAGAAGACAATGAATATGATAGATCGGCGATCGAATCAGCCAAATTTTCGAGCAATCCCAAGGAAACGTTCGTAAACGGTGCCGTGGCATTATCTTCCATACTTTCCTTCAGAGCACCGAGGGCCGATTGAAGTTGATTGGTCGGATATAAGAATCCTTCGACGATCGCTTCCGCGTCGATGAACTCATCGGAAGTTGGACAAAATTGCGATTGAGACAAGGATATTTGTTTCTTAAGAGGTTCCAACGATTTCCAAATACTTTCCTCGCCAGATAATTCCGTCCCCTTTTCCAAAGCGTCGATCGTTTCTCCCAATCGGCTCAAAGATTTCATGAGATAATCCTGAAAATGTAATCTCATGGTACTCGGTTTCGGAGAGTAATCTACTTTTTCAATTTGCTGGCAAACGGACAAAATGGCATCGTTCAAGAATATTAAGGATTTCTCGAAAAAGCCCCCATCCTCGACGCTCGCTATTTCGTCGAGAATGTCGCAAATCTTAAGTCGAAGATCTTCGACGGAATTAAAAATGACGTTTCTCCTTTCATCGAGTAACGCTACTTCTGGAACTAAACTTTGACGACTCCTTTGTACGACCGAAAGACAATTGAGAAACTTTACCAACGGTTCGGTCATGTTTCTCAGTTCCTTTATTACTTCCTTACGTTGATCGAGAATTTCAATTTGCTGCGATGTTTTATTAACAGCTTGCAATAACATATCTATCGGCTTGACTAGAATTTTCGCCACGTCTTTTTCTATAGTATCTTCCGAGATGGCCTCCAAACCTTTCATTTGTTCCAGAATACTTTCCAGAGGCTTTGAAATGTCCCGAAGATATCCCAACATTTCTTTTCTAGAACTTACTTCCTTCATCGCGATAGGTATCGTCGATTTGGTGTCATCCAATACTCGAAGAAGTTCCTTCAAAGTGTCTTTCGATCGATCTTTCTCGCATATTTCGAGACTCGGTCGTAGAATATATTTCTCCGTGTCTTCGAGAGACTGTTTAAGACGATTCAGAACCGAAAGCTCTGCTACGCCTAGTTCTTCGGTCAAACGAAGAGCTTCTTCTATCATAGTAAGAGGCTTAAATAAGTTATTAAGAATCAAAAGCGGTTCGTCTTCCTTGCTCACTCCCTTATCGTAATTGGAAATAGCTATTCGCGTGGCGGAAATCATTTTAGTAAATTCTTCGAGAGCAACGGTCAATTTTGTTTGAGGAATAGTCATTTCTCCCGTCATGGGTTGTTCCAAATCCTCGAGGATACTGGTGGCTTCCAATTGAACATTTTCAAGTATTTTAGGTAACGAAAACATCAAGTCTTTCTCAATTGCATTTTCGCTAGTTATGGATTCGTAAGTTGTTCCTCGTACCGGTTCTTCTACGATATCCATCGTAGCGGGTGATAGATTTTCTTCCAACGTCTCGACTACCTGTCGAAGTTCCTTTTTATAAAGCGCTTCTTTGATAGAAATAGGAATCCGATTCTCTATTTCTTCAACGATATCTAAAATCAAACGAAGGGTTTTTTCCTCGGCGTGGTCTTCCAAAACGCGTGCTATCGTTTGTAAAAGATATTTCATCGGTCGACTCAACGTTTCCAGAGCAGCAAGATCTTCGGGCTCGTGGTACATGGAGATAGCGTTTTTCAAACGCATCAGGGGTTCCCGCAGATCTATCAAAGCTTCTATCAAGTCCTGATCGCTCGGTGGCTCCGAATAAGATGTTTCTATGGCTATTCTCGTAACGTCTCGTTTGAGTTCATCGACCGAGGAGCTCAGAGGAGACGCTTCCTCGTCTCTGAGAGTATCTTGGTCGGAGGTGGTCGATAGCCAACTTCGTATAGGATCCAAAGAACGATTTATTCTATCGGCCAGTTGCTTCGACGATGCCTTCTCTTCTTGACTTCCTATTAATTTATCTTTTTTCTTCGACGTTTCTTTGGCTATCAAAGTTGCATCTTTTTCTATTTCTTCCAACAGCTCTACGATGGGAGTAAGTTCTTCCAAAGATTTCCCACCTTCCACGACAGCCTCCGTCAGTGTTTTCAATCTATCGATTGGTTCGATCAAATCGTTCAATATTTCCTCTTCTTCGATTTGATGTTCGTCGGTTAAGAGGGCTCTCTGCAAAATCTGTAAAGGCTTTCCCAACCGTGACACTTCCTTCGCTATCTTTTCGTCGTCCTTTGGTTCTTCCAAGCTAGCGATTGCCACAGCACAATTTGCAACATTCTCCTGCAAGATTTCTATCGAATTCTTCAATGACGAAGAAGCCGCGATTTTCTTTTGTTTTTCTAAGACCGACGTTAAAGAGAAATTAATGCTACCTAATTTTTCATCTACGTTTAGATCCTGCAATTTAGCATGGTACGTGGCCTTTGGTATTTTTAGTATTTCTACTCGAATGTCTTCCAATATCTTCAAGACCGTTTTCATTTTCGTTTTAATCGGTTTAGCAACGCTCGACGAGGAAGCTGTAATCAAAACCATAGACATTAGGTCTTGCAAATTTCCGATAGACGTTGAGAAGGATTCCTTTATCGCGGCGAGTTCCTCCCGAGGAGACTTGTCGTCTTTCGTTGCCAGGATAACTCGAAGATCCAACAAAGGTTCCTCGACGTCCGTCAGAGAACGAAATATTTGGCTTTCGTTGGAAGACATCGCTGCGTGGGCCGCGTCGGATATACATTGCCTCAGGTCTATCAAAGTCGAGGAAAACTCATGCACCATTGGGATTCGTTGACGAGCGATACTGCCATTCGCAGGTAACTCGATATCTTCCAAATCCTGAATTGCCGCGCTCAGAGTCGCCTGAATTTCTATCAACGGATCGAGAAGTTTTTCCGGCACCGAGGATCGCGACTTTTCGCTTTCTCCAATTCTATCCTCCTCTCCGCGAACAATATTCTCTATGTGCGAGCAAATGGAGATAATCGGTTGCACGGATGAACAATTTAACGAGGAATCGTTCATAACGACAGACAATCGAGTTATGGACGGAGCTAAAAGTTTCAATACCTTTGCGGAATCTTTGATAGTCGATACGTCCGTTACGGTGTCTCGAAGAACATTCAATCTTTCTTCCACGGAATAGAGCAACGTTTCAAAGGTGTTCGCTTCCTGTCCCCGTGCACTCAATCTATCATAGGTCTCATTCAATACCTCGAATACGGCTGCGAATCTAGGATCCAACGAACCGGATATCGTCTCGTAAATTTCGAGTGCCTCTCGTAGAGCCAAACGCGTATCTTCGAAGATGCGTTTGCTTTCTTCGACGAAATTACTCTCCTTTTTCCAATCGTCATTTTTTATACTCGCCTCTTGCTCTTCTTTCGCACGGTAATGGAGAATTTCCGCAAGGGTATCGTTAACGGACTCTTTCAAAGAATCGATTAATTTGCCACGACGTTCCGTAAGAGGGTCACCCTTATTTTCGTATGTTTCTAAGGCAGCTGTCAAAGTATCCAATTTGGCCCTTAATTCTCGAGTAGGCTGCAATAGTAGATCGGTTAGAAGAGAAATCGTGTCGTTGCTAGGACGACTCGATTCGAGGGACTCGGTTCGATTCAATGCTCTTACGGTTTCTTCGATGGATTTCGATAAGGACTCTACGAGCACCGTATCGACCGTTTCTATCGTACCCGTCGCTGGATTTATCGAAACATCTTGCAAAAATGAGTTCAACGTGTCGATTACTTTATCCAAGCAGGAAAACAATCGGACAGGTTCTGTTTCTTTGACGAAAAGATTCTTCAAACTTTCGTCGAAACGTGAAACGACTCGACGCATTCGAAGAAAAGACACCGGTTTTTCTCCTTTCGCTTTGCCGGTCAGCTCTTGTTCGATTCTCGTCAGTCCCATTAGTATCTCATCGACTGGATCCGTCAAGGACTCTAAAATAGCGATTACGTCGGTTCTCTGTGCTCGAAAACTTCGTTGTCGATCTATCAATTCGATTCCCCGAAGAAGTTCTTCGGTAGGGCCCCCGATACCTTCCAGCAGAGATATTCTTATCGCTTGACCGAGAGATCTATCACCAGCATTCTTCAAAGCCTTGGCTTCTACCGAAGATACTTCCTCGCAAAGCGTCTGAATCGGTTTGACGATCGACTCCAAAACGAAATCTCTCGATCGGTCTTCGCTTTCGAGCTCTAAAAATCTCTCGTATCGATCTATGTCTACCAAGGAGTCGCGAATCGCGACTACCGGTTCCGTCAACCTTTCTATTTTATTTAATATCCGTTCTTTATTATTCTTCGACAAGGACTTGTCGTCAGATGTTTTGTCATCGTCGACGCGTGCATCGATCGATTCGATACGCTGACAAAATTCAACCTCTTTCTTCTTCTTCTTTTTCTTCTTGGTGTTGTTTTTCTTAGCATCGAGATCGGTTGGAATCGACGACGTCGATTCCTCCGAACTACTTTTTTCTTTCTTTTGTTTTCTCTTTCGCGAATTGGTCCTAAGAGCTGGATCTTCAACGTTCGAAGCAATGCTTTGCATATTTTCATCGTCGTTCGTTAATTTGTTTGGCTTTTCCGAAATAGAAAATCGCGCGGAAGACAAGGCATCCGCGAAAGTAATAGCCTCGCTGTCGTCGTCCATTCTTTCGGAGGAAAGCGGAGAGATCGGTCGGTCCTCGTCTTTCCGTGCGCTGTGAAAACTCTCCGATTCGAATTTGAGACTTTTCTCGTCGCTCTTCGAGGAGGAACGACTCGTAGATTTTGTTCGCGGGGGCCTCGTCGGCGGTTTCTCCTCGCCTTCCCAGCTGTATTTGGGCGACCTCTTCAACGACAAGGATTCCTCTTCGGGGGAAGAGAAGACCCGAGTCTGATCGTCCATGATCGAGACGTCCTCGAAATCTGCTTCCGTCCGTAGATCGTCCCCGTCCTCGGCGCTGACGAAATAATCCGGCGAAACGTCGATCACGACAGCTTCCATTAAAAGATTTCCGGAAGTCGAGCTCTCTTTAACGAACCTCATCGGTGGCAATTCGATCACGTTGTGCTCTAAAAATCAGCCCAATGTTTTACATACGTTCAAAACACACCCCTAAATCGCTTACCCGTGACGTGTTCGGACAATTGGTCGGCGTACATCTCGACGATCTGCAGAGCTTCTTCTTCCGTGAGATCGGGAGTTTCGTAAAGGCTTACCGATACTTCTTTCCCATCAAAACTGAAAGAAACTTCGCCCCTATCGTCGAGGGTGATCGAACGATCGGTCTGCGGGGTATCGTATAATTGAGACGTTCTTTCCTCGTGAATCGTCGAGAGGGATAAATTTCTTGCCAATTCGTGACCATTCGGTGAGGCTTCTTTGCCATCCTTTCTATTGATTTTGTCTAAAGTACGAGACACAGAAGAAGCATTGTTAAATTTATAAATTTGATGTTAGTTCGAAGATTTGGGTGTGTGTTACCTTCGAAACCTAAAAGAGAAGCAGAACTGCTGACCGTTCCCATACAATTGATGGCTTCGCACGTATACGTTCCCAGACAGCAAGTACCATCCTGACCCGTAATTATTCTATGTATATCGCCCGGTTTCAATTCCACGCCATCTTTGTACCACTTGAGAATCGGTTGAGGTACACCGATCACTTTGCATTCCAAATTAACGGCACCTTCTTCGGATAATATTGCTCGCAAGCTCTCCAAGAATTTAGGTTTTTTGTAATGCTTAGGAATGATTAATTTGAGAAAACAGGAAGTAACGCTGTGTCCGTAATCGTTAGCAGCCACGCATTTCCATTCGCCCTAAACGGATATCGAAGAAATCGTTCAAATATCCGCCACCATAAAATCACGCATAAAATAGAGATAATTACTTGATCGGAAATTTCTAGTTGACGAACTTCCAGATGACACGTGCCAAGATTTTCCTTCACCGTACGATATTTGTCACCTTCGACCACCTCCACGTCGTCTCTGTACCACGAGAGAGTTGGTTCCGGCGAAATGCTCACTGAAAAATCATTGCAAATTCAATGCAACGAATCGATTGAAAAGTATCCAACGAAAAATGTCCAACCAACCCTGCACCGTAAAACGAAATAATTCTTCGTTGATCTTTGCTTCGCAACTCCTTAAACCTCTGATAAACTTTGGCGGCTTGTCGGAACTCAATAGTTGAAGACGTTCTTCCTCGTTCAATTGATTTTGAATATCTTCGATCGTTAATTCTGCGGTACTCTTTGCTTCGCCCATACAATTTCTTGCGATGCAACAATAAGAACCTGTTTCAACGAATTCGTCATTATCGAATATTTTGCTCTCTTTCAAATGTCAAATCTAAAAATAGGATGCAAACCTAACGAGTTGGTTCCGGTTAATTGGTAAACGTCTCCTGGTTTTAATTCCTGTCCATCCTTGAACCACCTCAATAAGGGAGTCGGAAAACCGACGACTTTGCATTCGAACGATACCAAGCCTTCTTCCGTGAGAACAGCTTTTAAGCTTTCCATGAAACGCGGTTTCCTGTAGTTCTTTGGAACTTTATCGACAGAGGAAAATAACAAGTAGCGGCTATTCGATAGACATTACCGTACCGTAATAAATATAACCTTATTACTCACTGATCATAGCGACATGACACGTCGTAAATTGTTTAACGTTTTGCGCACTCGTAGCGACGCATTTCCATTCGCCCTCGTCCATAGCTTCGACCAATTTCACTTCTATCGAATAACCACCTAGACCATCTTCCATCACGTGATACTTTTCGTTTGCATCTATGCGCCCTTCTTGATTGTACCACGTTATCGACTTTGGCCACGGTGGAACGTGAACTACGTATTCGTCGAGAAACCCATGTAATCTATCAATTACGCTACGTATCTAAGAAATTTCAAGTTAAAGTTTACCTTGACAAGAGAGTGTAAGAGAATCGCCAATTCTGCAACATTCGTCTCGGAGTATTCGTTTGAATACTGGCGGAGGTCCCGAACTGGTTAACGTATCGGCTGGTTTTAAAGAACCCTCCCGGCTTCCTTTTCCAACGACGTGTACCTGATTAGAGATTAGGAAGGTAATAGTTAGGAAATGTCGTTATTATTGAAAATATTTCACCTTTGACGAGGAATATGCACTGCCCATGCAATTGACAGCTTCGCAGGTGTAAATTCCCAAAGACGTCGGATCGTCGGGATTCGCCGTTAAAGCAAACACGTCGCCGGCTTTGATCTCTTTGTTGTCTTTGAACCATCTCAATACCGGGGTTGGCACGCCAACGACTTTGCATTCCAAAGATACGGTTCCTGTTTCCGTCAACAGAGCCCGAAGTTCTTCCACAAACTCTGGCCTCTTGTACGCTTTGGGCACTGCACAGAGAGGAAGAGAGAAAGACGCGAAAGAACAAATAGCAACGGAAGGATATTCTAGAAGCTTACCGATGACGCTCAGATGCGACGTGCACGATGATCTGCCATTTTGATTTTCCGCCATGCAAGTCCAGTCACCTTGATCTTCCGCTGTTACTGGTGCAACATCGACGCAGTAAAAATTACCCTCGTGTACAAAGGAAAATCTCGATCCCGCTTGAATAGGTAGATCGTTTCTGTGCCAAATTACCTAAAATTGTCGCGTTAAATAATATACTCCTCGTCGTCTAGTTAATTTTTCATCAAAAATATCTCTCGATAATGTAACAGAAAGAGGAAAGGAAAGTCGTAGGGAAGAGAGAAGGAAAAGGAATGTGCCGAGATTAGTAGAGGCACGTCATCCTTATTCTAGTAAGGATAGATGCGCGCGTAATAATAGTGGCGAATAATAGTGGCGAATAATAGTGGAGAGTAGTAGTAATACGAGCGAGTATTAGTAATATACCAAGAACGCGTAACAATTTTCGTCCCCTCGGGTCATGGACCTTTGCTATCCCATTCGATTCGTGTGTGTTTCCCGTTTCGTCTGCTAGTAGACGAAGAAGACGAGCCGAAAGCGACAACTCCTTCCGGGTTGCGTCTCCGAATTTATTCATAAATATTTGATTGCTTTTTATTTGCTTATTTTCCAATCGAAACTAATAAATAACCAAATGATCATCGAATTACCTTCGTATTCGTCGAGCTTCGTATTTCTACGAGGAATCTCGTTCTGGTGCCAACTTTGACTGCGAGGTCTGTCAATCTTCTGAGAAAAATGGGTGGATCGCCTTCCTCGTAACTCGGCTCGTCGACGCGCACATGAATTTTCTTAGTGGATCCCTTCTCAAAGGGTTGCCCGATTCTCGTCGCTACTAAAGCATATTGACCGGTGTCGTCCTTTTGCGATTGTTTCAACGTCAGTTGCACGACGTTTCCTCTCATTTGTAGCCGATACCGATTAGGTGGCATCGGTCGGTCGCCGCGTATGCTAAAATCCAACAAAATTCAGCGTGACGAGTAAGCAATAAAATACTAATTCTATCTAGTATCAAAACTTCCGCTCTCCTGCAAATGGATAAACAGTTTGGAAATGTTATGGTTCGATTCATTCACTCTGGCAATGATTCCAATTCGAAACCATATACCTTTCATTCGCGCGAAAGAAAGAGATCGATTAAAAATACTCACAGACTATATTTAAATTCGTCAATTACGTTCGAGAGGTATTTCTTATTCAGCTCACCTGACTAATGTTTAATATTATTTACGAAAAGTTCGATGCACTCTCGTGAGATGCAATTTGCTAACATACGGCCTTGACATTGATGAGTACGAATGAAAAATAAGAACGTTGACATTCCCGAAAGAATGATCCGCTTGATGCGTTACGCAGCTGTAATCCTTGAATCGTCCTATTATTGAAATCTTATAATTAGCGACTAGTCGAAGAAAAACGGTAAACAAAGCGTATCGGTATTTGATCGAAGCAAAGCGTGCCTTTGACACATTTCAAACGACGCCCCGGCCTCGAAGGCGGTCGTTATTTTAAGATTAACGTCTCGTCATCGAGCAGCTCCAAAGGGAAAACAAGATTGACAATCATTCGAAGAAAAACAAAACTGCGCCCACCGCTACGAGAATGATCTATCTATTGCGTGTATACATTCATAATTCTCTGTTTTACGTCAGTTCCGAACTATTGCAGCACATATTTTCATTCGAGGTATTTCTAGAACGCCAATGGATTTCGAATTGCTTCGATAAATTTTGGAATATCGAATGGCTCGATCCGATAGCGTAATTGAAAATAATGATTTTAGCAAAGCGATGCAAAAGTGTTGAATGTACGCGTGGTTCGATCTTTTTCTGTTGTTGCTCGCGTAAAAAGGTGACGAAAATAGGGCAGTAGAGCAATGCCAAGACGAAGTGCGTTGGACCATTTGTATGCTTGAAATATGTTAGCCTCGTGTACAGCATTACCAATTTTTATTTTAAAACTAATAGGAGGTTGCTCCGACGATTATCATTCTAAAGAAAAATGAATGATCCTTCGATAACCATCGTCCACGTAAGTACGAAAAAGAATCGCCTTGAAAATAATTCTCTAATCGGATGAGATTGCATCGATTGTACAATATCGATTGTACAATATCGATTGAAATGGTATGCACCCTCGAATAAATGTGTATCGATGGTAAGAAATATTTCATTAGTGCCTTTTGACATTTCGAGGAGAGCGTATTTATGCACTTGGCAAAACATAAATTCCGTCAGAAATGATTTTACCCGCGTGATCGTAGCTGCAACCCTTTTCGAGAGAGGTAATCGTGACATAATTCTATTAGTTATTATTTAGGCTAGTGTGATCGATTTGGTAGGAAATATTTGTGCAATCATCATACCGATATGCCGAGCCATTGGATGAAGATCCTCTGGCAGGTTTGCCATTACCATCGGCGCACTTACAACAATCGCTTCCCATTATCGAGTTTTTAACCGAAAGCGCACCAGATTCATCTGTCGAATCGAATACTTTCACTGATTAACGTGACGTTGTTATAAAGAGACATCGTTGTTTTCTATTCAAAAGCCAATTTCGATGATAGTCTGTAGAAAATGTAAGGGCATTGTTGGATATTTCGATCGATGCGACGACACTGTGCTCCGGGGGTATCATCGACATTTATAGAGATCTCAATAGCGATCTATGTTTCGGAAAAGTCGTAGATGCGGAGCAGGCGCGTTGCGATTTTGGTAAGTTTGTTGTGGTTCGGTAGAGAAAAGTTGGAAGCAAGATGAAAGATGTTGTTGACTCGACGCGAAACGTTCCCTTGAAAGACTGATAGCGAGTTGGCAGCCGCGCATAGTCATAGGTGGGATTTCTTCCCACCTCCGCGGACGGTTCGTTCTTCCGTTTTCGCTCTTAGATCGAAGCAGAGAGCGCCTCTTCCGTCCTTTCGCCAAAATCTTCAGCTCGGTCGAATTTAGCTTGTGCCAAGTCGAAAACGACATAACCACGGCAAGTCAGCCGGCGGTTACAGTTACAAAGGGAGAACTATAGACCGAAATAGATGGTCTTAATGAAAAAGAAAGTAGGAATAAATCGATGATGCTCGATGATACCTTCTGTCCCTCGATGAGATCATAATCGTATTCTAGAAATAGGCGAAAGGGAAATAAAACGTACGTTCCTTTCCCGCCGAGATCTACGACCCTGCCATTGGAACGCTCCCGCGAATATACTTATGAATATGTATACTACTATCTATATAATGCCGCTTCTAGGATAGGACGACGAATATAATTCCGTTATTCGCGAAAATTAATACACGCGACGGACGAAAATAAACCCGCGTTTGATCCTTGGCACGTTTCAAGGTTTTACGTTACAAATTAGGGCCAATAGTCCAGAATGAACGATAACGCGCGCGCAGAGTCTGCGCCAGGAATGTAATAATTGATTGACTTGTACACTTACAACTCCAGTTGCAAATCATCGCCGGTGTATTCCGTCGATTTGAGTTTCAATTCAACGACGATATCCTCGCCGGTGCGGCCTTGCACCGCCAGGATTCGGTCTTCCTCTTCCCATGCTATTTCAATTCGTGATATACCATCTAAATATAAAGAAGAAAATGGCAATTATTGAAAATATATAGTCGATTAGAGAGAATGGTCTCGGCTTTGCTTTGAAGAAATTCATTATTCGAGAACTACCTGATATTTTAAGACTCACGTGCTTCGCAAAATAGTCTACGTGTGGCAGTACCTACGTGCAAAACTCTGTAGCATAAATATAGATACGTAGAGAGAAAGCGCGATAAAGAGAAGAAAAGAGAGACGTTCTCCAAACTTTACGGTCGTATCTTCGAATTTTCATTGGAAATTTCATTCGATCGCGCGATTCCCTCTGGCGCGGAATTTTAGTCGCGAGCACCGACGACGGCACGCAAACCGATCGCGTAAATAAATAATAAGACAAAGATACGAATACGAAAAAGAAAAAAGAAAGGGAATTGAAGCGTGACATTTGGAGTTTTGCGCCGAGATTTGCATCGCATTCCGATCGCGCATCGCACGGGACGACTTTATCGAGAAGAAAGAAACGTCTTACCTGTTAGAGTCATTATTACGTTGAGCGTTAGGAGGACCGGCTCGTCCTCGCATTGACATCACTCGTTTATCGCGGAGGAACTAGCCGTCCTCGATGTCTCTCGGTCGAATGTAACCACCGGCGGCGCACCACCACCGCCACTAGCATCGGCAACACCAGGCCAACGACAACGGGAACGATTGACCCGAAACACGCAGCACACCCTACACGCCACGAAATTCAACGGCAGGAGGCCCTGCTCCGATCTAAAATCGTCTCGAGACAGTACTCTCAGCTTCGTCGTTTTAACGAAACGCGCACATGCGCCGTACGCGGAGCCCGCATTTCTCTGATGTAACTTGCCAGTGTTGGCGGCGCCGCGGTATTTCCTTCTTTCCTTAATCTCGACTACTCTTTAATAATAATTTTTACTCTTCAATAATAAAATTTTTCCTTTAATTTTACGTTCTACTCGTCTTATTAGCGATCCTTTTTATCGCTTTTTTTTTATCGCTTAATCTACTGCACGTTACTCCGATGACCCGAAATAATGACTATTTCCATCTCTCCGACTATTCCATACCTCTATTATTTGGTCTACCGACCGATCTTTAGGAAAAAGGAAGAGTTTTCGACGACCATTACTTGCCAATTGAATAGCAGGTATATTTTAGGCCCCAAATGTCCATAGCAATTTTAGAATATCCAGACGACAGAGTTGAAATTCGCTAAGACGAGTTACCAATGACCGGCCAGGAATATTTCTTGGGATGAAAAAATTGGTGCTGGTTATAAAGCATTGCGATCGTATAATATCTATGTACATGTTTATTTAAATGAAGGCATTAAGAATAAATAACGATGATCGCGTAGGTGTGTAGCATCGACAAAAGATAAACGTAATACTTTGTTTCATAAATTACATATAATTACTCCTATAATATAAGCTATATATATATACTTAGATATTTTTTCATTAAACATAGGTATGCAAGAAAAACGATATAATTCCGTGATAAAATAATCAGCATTCTCCTCCATCGAATCAAAATTCTTATACTAAAGCGAGCGACGCAAATAGGACCGATAAATAAAAAGATAAACGATGCGTAATTCGAAGGAGCTAGATTATTCTACGACTTCTCCGATACGTACAAAATACTCTTCTACGTGTTTCGTCCTACCGTCAAGCTATCCTATCTCTTTTTATTTAAGGATAATAGGATAAACAATCCTTCCCCGATGAATGATACAAAATTCACCAAATGATTCTATTAATGCGACATAGCGAAATAGTAATTGGTCAGTGCTTGCGTTTGGACGACCACCAACGTCCCGATATACGCTCGCGAATACCTTCTTGGATTCGTCTGTAAAGAAGAAGAGCGATAAAGGGTATCGCCATAGTCTCCTTCTTGAATAGATAAACGTAAATGGCAGCCATGAGAAGCGTCAAATCGGTTATGTAATTGACAGTCGATTTAACCGTATACCGAGCTTGAAGAGCAAGACGTTCGTCGTCCGCTCTGTTCGGAGGTTTGTTCGGAGCTCTGTATCTTTTGCTCCCCAATGCTCGTTGCAAACGTTCGATCTTAAGTTCGGCCGGGGTCGTTGTTCTCTGTCTGTCTCTCGAGTTCGATCTCGAGGAAGCTTTTGAATTTCGGGCGCTTCGATCTACGGATCTTTCTCTACCGAATGCACGTTCTTCCGAAGTTGTTCTAGACCCTGGCCAATCCTGGCCGTTCCTGTCTCGAGATGGAGCACGTACCCTGGTAGGTCTTTCGACGGAAACGTTCCTCGATCTGGAACTCGGTGATCTCGTGCGCGAAGATGCCCTGCTCTCTCTCGTTTCTTTCGGGGGCAGCTTGGGACGATCTCTGGCGGGGGTAGTACCGCGCGATCCAACGCTATTCTTTCTCGTCCGGTTTGTTTCGCCAACCGTTGCTTGCTCCGATTTCCTCCCAGATACTTTCTTCTTACCGGCTTCTTCGTCGTTAACCCTTCCGCCGCTTACGCTGTGACTAGATGAATGTTCTCGTACGATCTCGGTGTAATGACTAACGACTGCCATCCTGGCTTCGATGTCTGCTTCGTTCGTCTCCTCCTCGGGCGTTGCCGAACGCATTTTAGCTTGTATTCTACGATTCTTTGCCGCTTCTCCAGCCGATAAAACGCTATCGGTATCCGATTCCGACATAACACCTGGCTTCGTCGGATCGTAATATTCGCTCGTAGGCGAATTACCTTCGTTTCGATCGATTACCTCCTCCTGTCTCACGGGTGGGACTTTTCTTATCGGTTTCTCAGGCGGTATAGCTTTGCCAAACTCGTTTATTCGTATGGAAGCATCTTCCTTAGGTTTCTTGAGAATAGATTTTGGTTGAACGTTGCTAGCTGACATAGGTTGTGTTACCCAAATCGATGGTATCGTCGTATCGTCCGAAATCGAAGAGTTGTCGTATTCGGAAAAATGAGGTTTATCGAAACTATCGAAATGTGGTATTGGTCTACCTTTCGGATGGTACGTATCTTCCTCTTCCATAATTTGTCTCGCTAAAATTCTTTGCTTTAAGTTTTTCAGATCTTCGCTATCGGCACTGCTTATCTCTTCGGACGATTCTTCCGAAGTCTCGATACTTCCCTCCTCTTCGATCTGCTCCTCCGCTAGCTCCGTCTCTCTCTCTTCCTGCTCCCGTTTATCCGTTTCCTCTTGCTTTTCCGATACGATCTGTAATATATAAAAATATGTGCATAAATTGACCGCGTTACTCTTTACTACAAAAGGCTGTCGATATTTGCGTAGCCGGTCGAAAGACACACCTCTTGGAACGGAGAACTGGTCCTATTGGTGGAATCGACTCCCGAGTCGACACCCAAGCCCATTGATTTCTCTACCGAAGTTTCCTCGAGCAAAGGGACATTCGTCTCGTGCCATCTGCGCAGACGTTCGGCTCCCTCTTCGTCGCTGCTCCTCCTCCAAGTTCTCGAGGTTATGGTTTCTTCGTCGATTGGTAGATTAGGATCCGATCTAGCCTCGACGTCCGGTAAGAGCAACGGAGAAAGAAGCTTCATAGGTTTCAAAGCTGCCTCGACTTGACCTTCGCTTAATCTTCTCCGAGTTTTCTTAGCTTGCCAAGATGAGATCATGTGCTGCGTGGCGGTACCGGAATTCGACAACTTTCTCCGCAGAGGCGAACTTTTGCCGCTTCTCGTAGCTCCTCCCATTTCCAAATCCTGTTTCGCGATTGAAGCTAATTCCCCGGTTCTTCTCTCCAACGCTACTTTCCTCTTAGCGTTTTCCGACTCCTTCTCAGCCTCCATTGCTTTATAAAAACGTTCCATCGCACGTTCGTGTAACATTTCCGTAGAGCTGACTGCCTCGCGCAGAGTTTCTACCACTACGTGTTCTATACTGAATAATTCGGGAAGAGATAGAGACATTGGCGGCGGTATTAGATCTTCCTCGTCTTCGATTTCCTCCGTTCTGCCTTGCCCCGATCCTACGAGAAAACAAACCAAATCGAATTAGATCCTTTTGCAAATCTTACCATGTAACATTTACCTCTCATATTTAGTTCTTTCTTATCTTCCTTGGTTTCGCTTTCATCGTCCTTTGGATACAGCACCAACATGAATTCTGAGCTACCGTGCAATATGTCGTCGTTTTCTCTAGGCGATATTCCTAATTGCATCGCATCGAGCTCATCGGTTAGACCGTTCTGCTTCTTCAAAATTGAAACAGGTCGAACAAGTGGAAAAGACGATGCATTTGTTTCTTCTTCTACATTTTCTTTAGTCGAAGGTAAAAAAGGAGGAGACAAACTTCTTTCTCTGGACAATGAGAGAGAACGTCTGATCGAATCGCTCCTAGGTGGTGGCGATACCGTCACTATGGTGGTGACGAGTGTCGGTGACGTCGGTCTTTTCTTCGTTTCTACCCCAACAGCAGCAGAAGTTATCGGTGACGTTGGTCTCTTTCTAGTATCCGAGCTGTCCTAAATAATGAATAATACGATAATAATCGTACGCGATGAGAACAAATATTTATACATATATATATATATATATATATATTAGGGATAATTACAATCGCAACGATACCTGCACGTTTGCATCTTGTCGCATCGTATGATTCTCCGATCGATTTTCGTGTTTAGAAGAGGAATGATCTCTCGATCTAGCAGGTGGTACGGGTGGTTCGGTTCTTTCAACGTGAATCGTTGTGTCCGGACCAAACGTGACTCTACTGTCGGCTCTCGATGGTCTTTCCATCGACAATCTTTGCGCCGATGAAGATCGCCCACCAAAACGTCCTAGTCCATCTTCTTCTCTGGTTAGGCTTCTGCTCCTTGGGGCTGGCTCGACGAAACTAACCTCGCGTTTTTCCCCGCGCGACCGACTGATCTCTCTTTGACTTTGAGACTTTCCACTCAATTGCGACGACGTTGCCCTATTTCATAAAATCCCAAAGATAATCGATTGAACGAGTCGACTATTCTTTACTCTGTCCTTCCTACCCTTTATTTAAATCTGGAATGAAGATGATGTCACTTTCTTCGCTCGGTTCGCTCACTCCATACGGATTCTCAGCTTTTACTCGAAATCTGTATTCCGAGCCTTCGAGCAATTCGGTCAGCGTTGCTGTAGTTTGACGGCTCGTGGTTGCTTTCAACCACACTTCCCAACCGATCTAAGATCGTACAAGTATCATTATCGCATTATTGAAGAAAAATACAGAAGGGGAGAGAGATTTGCAACGCGTTTTCTTACTCTGTAATATTCGACGATGTAAGTACCGATCTTACAACCACCGTCGTCTTCCGGTTCTTTCCAAGATAAGGTGACGGATCTGCCCAAAGTCATGGTGACGTTTACCTTTCCAGGTGCAGCTGGACGATCTATAATAAAATGATATGATTAAATTAGACTTTGAAAAAAGTAAGTTTGTTCTTCTTGATACTTTCCTGTAACGGTAACGAGAAAAGAAGACGTATCTTCGCCAAGTTTGTTTGTAGCTTTAACGGTGTACTCTCCTCTGTCGAATCGCTTTGCATCCGGAATTTTTAAAACCGATTCTCCATCCATAGATTCAAACATATGTCTAGTGTCTTGAGAAAGAGGTTCTCCATCGTGAAACCAAGTAACGGTGGGTAATGGTCTTCCAGCCAAAGATACTTTCAATCTGATCGTTTCGTCCTGTTCGAAAAGAAGACCGTCCTCGTACTGTCGTGGTAGTCGTATCTTTGGATATGCTGAGAACGAAGAGCAATGCTATCAATCACGATGTATCTTACGTTTAACCGTAATGCATCGAACAACTCTGATACCTCACTAACCTTCGAGAATCAATCTGGCCTTGGTACTAACATGGCCAGCTCTATTCGTTGCGGTACATTTGATTTCACCCTCGTCATTAAGAGCTGTCTGATGAATAAGAAGAACACTTTTTCCATTTTCTGTCAAGATTCTCGTTCGTCTGCTGCTAAAAATTTCGAAGCCGTCCTTGAACCATGAAATCTTTGGTAAAGGGTTTCCCGCAAATTTCACGACGAATTCCGCCTGAAAATATTGTACTTTGCAGAGTTTTGTATGCTTACAAAGAAGATTACTTCGAACAAAGTACACCACCTGCTCGTTCTCCAAAGCAATCAAATCGTTGAGTTCGAGATCAAACTGTGGCGCGGATGAAGCCGATCGTTGCAACGTTACCGTCAACGGATCCGACAACTCGCTAGGAGCTGAGAGACCTACCGCATTCTGTGCCCTGACCCTGAACTGGTAACGCCATCCTGGCTCAAGACCACTCAATGTTAGTTCCGGAAAAGTGCAGAGGCCAGGTGTACTACGCACCCAATAAGCCGAACCCATTCGCCGATGTTCAACCAAATAACCCACGATGGCTGAACCACCGTTACTAGGCGATCGTTCCCAACGTATTCCTACCACATCCGGTTGCGTATCGTCCGTTCCTGGTATTAGAATTGGCTTGCCCGGAGGTGCTGGCAGTCCTGACAATAAATCGCGCGAGCGGGCGCGCGCTCTTCTGTATTTAATCATTTTCGACTGATCCAAAAGTCGATGAAAAAATAAGCTAATTAATGAATACAAATTTGTCATAGATTTTGACATAATCCTAAAGAAGAAAAGTAGGAAGCGTTTGGAGAAGAGAAGGAAGATGATCATCCACGCATGCCAGAACGATGCTTACGTGCGTGTCGCGTAGAATAGACGATCTCTACCACAGGTTTGCACGTGGCGTTCTTAAAATAAAACGTGAAACGTTTGGCAAGCCGAGGACCGCTAGACCACCGTCTTCACGGTGGGAAAGCTATGCGAGAGGCTAAACCGACATCGGATACCAACTCGACCCGTCTACGATTTTCTCCTACAACATACTTTTCATTATTTCGATACTAATCGAATGATTTTCTTTTCGCAATGATCTCATTTCGATCGTTTCCGTTTGTTCGTCGACTATGCCGAGTAAATGAATTCTTTAATTCCGTCTCTTGCCGAGAATAATCTAAATTGGCATTAAATCTTGGAATTTCTATTATGCTTGATAGATCTTTTAAAAGTGCGATTGCTCAATAATCGAATTAGAAATGATAGGTCAAGTCGAACTTATATTTTCGTACTCGCCCCATGTATCTTAGGCGGAAGGCTACCCATTGTTAAAATAAACATCCTCAAATCACGCTAGTTAATTTTAGATTTCCGAAAGATTTAATGATAAATAAATATACAATAGCTGATGGACTATTTAAACTGTTCGAGGGCGGTGAGAAATTCACTTGCACGTACATACAGAAATTGTGATGAGGAAACTTTATAAATCCCTTCTCTTTTTATCAGCAAATTTGAAAAGTTGATGAAGCGAACAATCGGTCGCAGAAATGTGGGTCTACCTGGTCCATCCCAGCGTGGTCTCTTGGACGAGCTGGCTAGAGAGATGCTCTTGGAATAGTGTCTCTTCGTAGTAGTGTTCCCCATGATCGTACTTCCTCTTCTTCCTCCGCGTCGAGCCTGGCTCGACGAGCGCGCTTTTCCTGGCCAGGGTTTCGAGCTTTTTACAGCGATATCGGTGTTAAAAGCTTCACGCTCGAAGATCACTAATGTTTCTGCCTCCACCGAACAGCGAAGGAAGAAAGAAAAGAGTGCGCCTACCGGAAGAAGATGACCAAAAAAATAACGAGTCCGTTCTGTCCTTCGATCTTAACCGAATCAAAGATAAAAAGAAAGAGAGAGGAGGGGGAGAGAGAGAGAGAGAGAGGGAAGCGGGAGAAAGAAAGAGAGATCGAAAATTGGCTCGATATAGCTTGAGGCTCGGTGCGGCACTGCCGGACCTCTTCGTAATCGACGACCGTGGCGACGCCAGACTCTTCGGACTTCTTTACGTCTATCTTTGTTCTGCTCTTACCCCTTCTTTTCCTCTACCTCTGTTTTCCCCTTTTATCCACTGTTATTTTTCTCTCCTCTTCTCTTTTTTGATTTTCCTTAAACCTAATCATATACAGGCTCTTGGTTTTTTATATGATTTCATTGATTATATATTTCCATCGTATATTTTTTATTCATTGTAATACATATTTTCCTTTAAAATCCATCCACATTATAAACATATATTTATTTAAATATAATATATAAAACGATAATATATCTGCAGGTATTATGTAAATATAATATACATGTATATATATGTATGTCCAACTACATGTATATGCATATAAAACGATAGACCTTTGTAACATAATTTTTTGTTCAAATAGCTTTATAAAAATACAATATCAATAACCGGTATTAGAGATTCCATTCAACAAGCGTGCAATGCTTTTGTTACTAAGATTCATTAGGAAGATTGGCACGATTTGCAGCATATTTTGTAACATTTTTCGTAGCTACTAATGAGCATAGGAACATTGTTATTTAAAAGTGCATATCCATATCAATTTCAATTCTGTACAGATATATAAATATTAAGAAAAACCCGAAATATTATACTTGCAAATCTTTGATAAATGCGAAAAAGTTGAACAAACTTATTCTCGTACAATTTGAGATTTAAGATACAAGAGCTAACAAACATTTCTTGTAATGTCCGGAACAATCACCCTGCAACAGTAATAAAAGTAACATTTATATCTCTATAGAATGCATCATATTGTAAAGAGAAATTAACAAAATTACTAACAGATATAAAATCCTCTAGCGATTCACCATACTCATTCTTAAATGCTTCTTTTATTTCTCTCATGTCAACTTCGCAACGCGTAACGACCAACCTGATTAGACGGCTATCATCCGTTCCCAATCCTTTCATGCTTTTGTATAATTGTTCGGCAAAGAAAGCAGCTCTGTTGTTCACGCATTTGACTATTTCGGAATTATACATAGATAGTCATTAAGTATATAAAAAATGAAAAGAACTAATATGAATGTATATACGTACCAATAGCAAGGAGACCTTTTTTAATGTCCCCTGAAAATTCATTTTCTATAGCAGTTTCTATGGTATGTCCAGTTATGCCTTCATATTCTCGGAAAATTTGTTTCAATTGAGGTACATTTCTCTGAACAAGGATCGCATTAAACATCGATTCGTCAGTTCCAAATCGTAGCTCGCCTATATGTAATAAAGACATGTCTTTTTAAATTGTTTCCAATAAGAAACAAATACGATGTTTCCTAGTCATCGATGTTGGCAAAAAGTCACATACCAGCTTGTAAGAGAACTTTGGCATCTTCTAAGGCACTAGCTGGATCTACGTCAAATGATTCATCTCTATTGGCACAACACAATGAAACCATTAGGCGTTTGAAATTCCCAGATGTATCCGATCTTAAATCATCCTCTAAACTTCTACCATACACTAAAAATACAGATACATTCAGAAAATACTCGAAGAATAAAATATGAACATTCGAAAATGATTATACGAATAACTTACTAGCTTCGTAAGCTTCCTTAATAATACGAATTTCGTGGTTTGACATTGTACATAATATTTCAATAAGTACGCATTCGTCCGTACCAATACCAGCCATGGCATTGTGTAGTTCTTTGGCATAGAACTGTGGTAGCGGCATCATCATAGCAAGAATTAGTTTTTCAAAATTCCCGGACAATTCGGATTTTAAATCCTTAATCATATCCTAAGAAATAAAATGCATTAAATTTTCATAGTCGATGCTTACGTTAAAGGTATTATGCTTACTTTTCCATAAAGGGTCTTAAATTGAGAAGCAATTTCTTGTCGCTGCAAATTACTCCGATTGGCAAGAACATTGATAATAGCTTTTTCATCTGTACCAAATCCTTTCATAGCTTTCCTTATAACTTCTGCATCGGCTCTGGCATCGAAGCCATTGTACGGTACCACTGTGGGTGACAACTGAAATAAAGCGATGCATATATGTAAGAATATCTTTTCACAAAGGAATTACTTGTTAATAGTTAAAACAAGAAAATGAAGGATAATTTAATTTATCAAAGATAATTTGATCTATACTGAACATCTCTCGCGCATATATATCTCACCTTATTCGCATTGCAGCTCTGGGGGGCTGGGGCACTGCGACCAGAAGCCGAAGGTAAATTAGCACCATAAGGAGAGTACAAATTTCTTAACCCTTGCCCCCCGAGATTGCTGCCACCAGGATATGGTGCTGAATTAGATGACAATGACATATTAGGGTTTGAAAAAGAAGACGAATTTCTATCTCCAAAGCGATGTGCATTTTGTTCTTGCGGAATATTAGGGTAAACAGAATTTTGTTCTTGCGGAATATTAGGATAAACAGATTGTTGTTGTTGCGGATAAAAAGAAGATTCTGGCATACAAGAAGATGGATATGAGGAAGGATAAGGCATCGATGGAGGAGGATATACATTTGATTGCGGTTGAGGAGGATACGGCATTTGTTGTGGAAATTGAGGAAGATTGGTAGCACTTGTGGGATGAGCCAAATTAGGATTTGGTTGCATTGGATAAGAAGCGTATGAAGAAGAATATGGTTGAGGCATGCCAAATGAAACTGGAGCGGCGTTTGAAAAGCCAGTGTTAGTGGTTTGCGAATATGGTGGAGCACCGGGGGCAGAAGGTGTACCAGGTGGAACCCCAAACGATGTTGGTGGTGGTCCACGTCCTGGAAACTGGATCACTGGTGGTCCCTTGGATAATGTTATAGATATAGATACAATGCGCTAACTACTAGATATTTTTGATCAAAAAGTCATGCAGAAAATCAATAATTATAAGAAATTCAATCAATAATTTAAGAGAAAAACTCTACTCTGTATAATTCTCTTAGGTTAGAATATTTTAGTTGATTTAAAATAAAAAATGATACAATGCGAAAGAATGAGAAAGTAATAAAAATCGATAAATAAATCTCACCTGATATCCGTAGCTCATTTTGTTTCTCCTGGCTTTGTTAGTTATCAGTAAATAATAATCCTGAGTAGGTTATCCAACTGAACAATCCTTTCTACTGGGGTCACTCTTTTCGAGGAAAACGTTGCAATGTTTGGTAACGCCCAACGATTAACTGTCACGTTCTTTGCAAAGATGTTATAAAACACTATCTAGTAAAACAAATTTGTTGAAAATATTTATACCATGCACTATTAATGACGTAATCACATTAAAAAGGTGCACTACGTTGCTTTTATCGAATTGCTTTGGCAGGTAAGAGTAGAAAATGATATGAAAAACCAATTCAACGGGAAGGAATTACCTCGAAATAATGATTAATCTTCCGCGTCAGAAGAAGGAAACTGTTAGGTGATGCGTCGGCCTCAACGTCAGAGCAATTCTCAGAACAAAATCTAGCAGTCTGTCTAGAGTGGGGGAAAAGGGAAATTGCTCGTTGTTGTGCAATGACTATTTCAAATACTCTACTAATTGTAAATAAACGTGCTTCAATATAAATGTTCGTTTTATTTCCTAGGGGGACCAGCGAACGATCGTATCGATCGTTGATACAACAAATGCATGCAGTGTAGTTACCGACGTGACGTTGTCGTCAAATTCAATTTCGCCTATCGATTTTTTATTCGGCTAGTTAACCTTGAACGAACTACCTTCGCTAAAAACATTGACGATCCGGTCTACATGTTCCTATTAACATTACAATAAGAATAACAGGTAAGAATAAAAGTCTAACATTATAGGAGATAAGAAAGAAGATAAAAAAAAAACGTTTATCTTTGTTCTAATTAAATTGATCTAATATTTACATTGGATTTTTTGTTGTAAAATAAATAATGATTGTTGAATTTAATTGGTAGATAGTACCCAAGGCAAAATCCTTTTACTTGATAATGATATTAATTAACGAGTTTAATAAGACCGAAACAAAAAATCCTATTAGATTTATTAAATTTGCCAACTATGTAATCTTATAAATAACTCATATATATCATATATAACTCTCGTGCATATAACCTATGCATTCTATAGTGGTTGCCGTTAAAGGCAAACGCTTGTGCTTATAATAAAACTGTTTGTTGAATTTTTTGAATAGATAATTTGAAAAAAAAAAATGAATAGGAGGTCAGGTTTGGAGCGTTTGACGAGCGAAAGACAATAGGACGCAATCTTCAAAATAATTTATTAAAAATGTCGCATATTCTCGATATACGAATCGGTAATTAGTAACGGTATAATTAATAACTGTATGCACATTGTACATATGCATATACGAGCACGTCTTTGGTGTATTTACTATGTTCATTATACGTAATTGTCCAGCGATTGCTCGTCGAGTTGTTCGTTATTGGTAGAGAAATGATCGTGGTACAATATGTGTTGTATGCACGTCGAGATCAGGTGATACGATGTCGCGCCTTTTTCAACGACTATTCGAATGAAATGTAGATTTTCATGAGAGCATATCTACGAGTAGAGGAATCGTGTCACCTGATCATCGAACCCGTTTCTAGGTTCTACATACATATACTAAGAAACATTGGTGTCGTGTGCGCATACAGGAAGTATGTGTATTTGCGCTTGGCCCCGCGCGCGCGCGTATGTGCCTTTGCGATAGCGCAGTATCATCGGTGTGTGTGTGTGTGTGTGTGTGTACGTGTGTGTGTACGTGTGTATGCATTTGCCATTCGTGTCAGTTTATTGTCAGATTTCTTGCTGACCTTGATTTTCGCCGTACTAATCGAGCGTCCATCGAAACAGATCCTCATGCATAAATCTTTTTATTTTCTTTTTTGTTTTTTCTTTTTTTTTTGTTCTTTTGTTCGTTTACTTTTTACTTTTCTAATTTTTCCTTATTACTGTCAGTGCACGAGCATGCACTAAAAACAATAGGCTGTTTCGCTGCTAAGAGGATAATAATATAAATGACTGCTGCGAAAGTTTCGAGAGTACAATTTGGTCTTTCTTAGAATAATATTTGAGAAATATAATCGTCTTCGCGCCATACCGAAGAAGAATTTCATTTGTAAGAATACGATCGAATACGCTCGTCAATCTTTTCATTACTTACATTCGTATATTTTTCTTTCTTTCCTTTTTTTTTTTTTTTTTTATTATATAGCGATAAAACGGCGTTTATATAATTGATCAAACGATTTCATTATTTGCGATAAAAATACTAGCTTTCGCGATATATGCGAGTGTTTGTCAAACGAGACGACAAGTCATTGAAATTGGAATAGCAGCGAGCTTGTTCGCTTTGTTCAAGGTATCGTACTGGTATTTATTTCCGTTCGATCCTTTGTTTTAGGATTAAACGCATTAGCTTGGTAACTAAACGAACGTAAAAAAACGAATCCGATCGACGTGAAAATTGTCCTTGGTCGTATTGTATGGAAAATAAAAAGAAATAAACAAAAAGAGCAGAAAAATGCGATTGCACGAATCGATTTTGTGCCGAATCGTATATGTGGTATATATGCGCTATAAGTGGTACACGCGCGCGTCACCGTTACATTGAAGAAGGTTCGTGTAAGATCGATGCTTCCAAATAATAAGCGTTTTTCGGCAGTCTTAGGAGAAGAGCTTTGAACTTGGAAAAAGTTCTGTGCGACTATAAACTTTTAATAGAGTCAGTCGGTGAGTTTTAAACTCAATTGATGAAAGTAAATCAAGAGAGAGACGATAATACAAATAAATGAATAATCATTGTGAAACGTATTACTATTCGTCTCGGTAGCACGACGTCGATCCCATCTTATGCATATAACATATGTATATACAATTTCCTATGTTTCTCTTCAAACTCGAAAACGCGTAAAAGACCGAACGAGAGTATTGAATTCGTAGTATTTCGTATATATTCGTAGTAATTTCTCGTTCGTTTATTTTGTATTTTTGTTAAATATCGAACATCGAACGAGACATTGTTTTAGACTCGAAACGATTATTTCCAAAAATATTGCTGACAGTTATGATGTTTCTTCATCAGTTTCATTGGAAAAATCTTTTAAAACGATGCCTCATTCGATCCTCTCGTATCGTTAATCGATTTCATCATAATATTTGTCGATACACGAGACAAAAGAATGAGGTTCTTTCGGTGCCGACATTTAAACGATCTAAACGCGTTTTTGGATATGGTTCACATCGTGATAATAACGACTATTCGTCTACGTGATTATTATTATTATAATTATTATTTTATTCATTATTATTATTATTAGTAGTAGTAGTAGTATTATTAATATTATTATTATTATAATTAATAATATATTTGTATTATACGGCTTACACTCGGCTTCTCTAGAGCTTTTAAAATTCTTACGAGCTAGAAGAGAATTATTTACAAGAGAGGAGCTTCGTGAAATTTCTAATCTTTCGTCGAGGAGTAATGAAAAAGCGAGAGGACGGGATTACGGAATGATAATAGAATATAAATTCGAAAAAAGGATTGTCGAGGGTCGTAAGTGGTGTAGGAGTCGGCGCAAGGCTGGTGCGATGGATCGAAAAAGGAAAGGATCGATGGCGAAAGAGCAAAAAGAATGTCCTAACGAAGTTTTCCTTGTTACCGAGTGACGAGAGCTCGTCGCACCAAGTTTAGCGCTCGAATGACCGTTGTTGTTGCTCGTTGTTTCGCGTTGCTGTGCGCTCGTACGATCGATACACGCGAGTTTCTTCAGCGAACGACCCTCCACCTACGAGTTGACGCGTTTTCGCCTCTCTCTCTTTTTTCCCCCTTTTATTGCACTCCAAAGAACTCTGCGTTTTCGAAAAATTATCCTCCTCAAGCAAATACCTTGGATTAAATCATTGTTTAGACATCGAATTATTAGAATCCGTTTCGGATAACAATTTGACAAAAAAGCGAAATATCTCGGCGACAATGCGATACTTATTCTAAACTTATTTTGTGCCTTTTGTAAGTATTAACGAGTATGTAAATTATTCCTCCCGTTGTCACACGAATAGAACGCAAAAAGGCCGATGTTACGGTATTAGCATACCTTCTCGTATATCGAACGGTTTGTGCTGCTTTCTTCGGCCGATGCGGAGTTTTAACGAGAAAGCTCCTAATGTAAGTATAACAGAAAGAACAAAGGCGATATAACGCGCGTGCACGCAAATTATCCTACTCGAGCGACCCTGTTTCTTCGTTAGTTAATTATGCTCGCTCGTCGTCTCGAAAAGAACTTATAAACGTTGCTATGTATGTATGTACATCGTCGACGCACGATACGTTTCTCCGTTCGAAATCAACTTTTTTTTTTTTTTTTTTTTTTTTTCTTTACTTTTGTACTTTCTTTTTTACACTCTCGGAGCCCGCGATATTGTAGAAAATGGAACGCCGATTGCGGCCTTTTTCCCTCGAGCTTTCTCGGTTTGAATATCAAAGAATTTTGGTTAAAAAACTTTGCGCGTATGTACATACATACGTATCGAATACGAACACGAATACGTGGCAGTAGTTTGAAGGATCACATTTTCGTTGATATTTCACGATGAGAAAAGAAATGTTTTCATTGACGCTGAAGTAAGTGCCTCGAAACACGATCAGTCTTATGTTCTCTGGATTGTTCTTGATAAAAACGAATAGCTTTGCGTAAGTTTCGTTAGTTACTTTTGGATTAGCGAACGAAGAAGTAGAAAAAGAAGCTATAAGTAACGATTGAAGAAATAATAGGCGCGTTACGCGCGCGTACCGATTTCTTTTGGCCGAAAACGATACTTACTGCTCCGACCAATGTCGTAGGATTGTCCTCTTTTAACGTGTCGTGGAGGGTCGTTTATTTTTAGCGTCCCTTAATTTAACGCGACCCTTCGCCAATCAACTTTGATTTGTCGTTAATGACGAAAAGAATGGCGGTGATTTTGGCTAGCTGAAAATACGTATAGTACATATATATGCATTTGACGGATAATTCCGAATCGATCGCAACCGCTATCTCATTCGCTCGAATTCGTATTGGTGTATATTTTCTTTTCTCCTGCCGAAGAATTCGCGTTTCTCTCTGTTCGCCTTGAAATTCATACTTATCGATTAGTAGTAAAGCGGCACGTTGCCGGTCTCCGTTGCGTCGCGTCGCGTCGCGTCACGTCGCATCAAACGTCTGTAGGGGAAATAAAGAAAATAATTCGCAAACGGAGGCAAACGCGTGCACGAGTAGCGTTTTCAACTGTTATATAAATAGGTCAATAATCAATTATTTACAATTATGAACAAGGTGTACAAGCCGTGACAACGACGCCGATACTTCGAATACTCCGGGAGGATTTCCATTTACCTTTTATTTTCCATCGACGTCGCATCATCGGGCGTAACAATAATTTCGAAGCACAGCTTCGAGGAAAACAGCATCGTATATATTTATCACATCATTTGAAACTACGCGATTCTCTACCAACCGTATCGTCCAGCCCCCTCCAATCGAAATTCATTTCACTTTTGAAAGTTTCCTCTCTAGTCGAAATACATTATTATCCTTCGGTTCGCAATATCATTTTCCTCGTTATTTGTTTCTTTCTCTTCTTATCTTATTACAGAGTCGACACGAAGGGGGGCCAGATACATAGATTTGTCTCTTTTCTCTTGTTCATTAGGACGTTAGACGCGTAGAGTGCTCGACGTCTCGGATCGTTCTCGAATTACTTCTTCTTCGAATATACGTATCAAGGATCGAGCGGTGGGGGAGTATCGATGAACCTCTGGGCTGTTAAAATAAAAGCGAACAAGATCGGTAAAGGAATTGACTAACGATGCAGTAACTTTTTCTTATATCGTTATCAAGGGGAAAGAAAATTAGTTTGCGGTATCGAAAAGTTATGGATGCTCGTAAGGTTCAACGAGACGTCGCGTCGTCCCGATACGCGAAAATCTATACTATCATAACGGTGGGATATTACTAGGATTTTATTACTTATTGTCCTCGTTAAAACAGTTCGGTCATTTTTCGCGATTTAATATTCTCCGCGGTGTAACGGTAAACGGTTGTCTCCAGTTGCTAGAACTTGGAAGTCGAAGCGACGTTGCTAAAGTTTGACAAACTCGTAGTTTGTTGGATCGATAATCTCGTTCCAAGTGGAGAGAGAAAGCATTCTCTCGTCGTTCCTAGAAACATGTCAATTTCGTCGTCTCCCTTTGAAGACATTTCAACGTTTACGCAACACGGAAGCATTCGCGCACGGAGGAAAAAGAAATACGCGAGATCCGTTCTGTCAAAGAGTTTCGATGACGATCCGAGCGAGCGAGCAGTCGACCGTCGCCGTCGTCGTCGTCGTCGTCGTCGTCGTCTACTTTTCAAAGTCAGTAGGTTCGCTCGGTTGCTTAAATCGAAAATATTTCGGAAAGAGACGTAGAGTTCTGCGCGTTACGTCGCGCTGCGCCAAGCCGAGCCACTTCCAAGAGTCCTATTTCGAAAAGGATATATAACACCAGCTGTTTCGAAGGAAAAAGACTCTTTGAAAGGTTCGAGGAGGTGGACGATGGCGATCGTCACACGGTGGTAACGCGGTCGACTTCGACGTATCGCACAGAACTGTCGCTGTGTCAGCAGATCACTTCCTTTCCCTCGATTATCGCCGTCTCCGAGGAGATGCTCTTCAATCGGTGCTGAGATATCGAGCGGCTGGTCCGTTGCCGGCAAACTCGCCAAACGACCAGGAAGATCACCGCGAGGATCGTCAGGATGGCCAAAACTCCAAGGGCCAGATGCAACGGTGGCAATTGTAGGAGCATGGAGCAATGCGTCAAAGCCTCGTCGTAGCCCGAGGGACAGTGGGAGACTCCGTCGCACCACAGGGAAGCGTTTATGCACGCGTCCAATTCCGGACATCGTTGTTCGCAGTCTCGAGTCATTTGTAGTCCTGCCGTTGACGTTATTGCTGGCCTAAATTGATATGATAGGGAAATGAAAAATGATCGGGTATCTTTATCGGAGCCTTGTCCCAAGCTTATTAATACCTTCTGGTAAGCTCGAGCCACGTGACGCCGTACGATTCTGGCTCGGAGATTAGGAACTCTACGGCGACAGTTCTAACGGGATCTCGACCGGGTACCGGGATAAAGTTGGTTCTACCGACGGACCAGCCATCGCTGAAAATTTCCACGACTTGTTGCCTCGAATCCTCTACCGGTTGCGGGCATACCGAAGCGCGAAGTTTTCCTCCGGTATGGAAAACGATGCGATTCTTCGTCAAGCATTGACTTTTCCCAGGTCTCGTCATTATCGAACCGTGCGTTTTCACGTAGAGATATTGTCCCGGGGCCGGGTCGATCAGCCAAGGCTGCTTCTCGCAATTTCTCTGAAAGTCATTAGCGCCAATCGTTAGCTAGACCTAGCTATCGAATTACCAAAGTATAAAGGTAAAGAATCGAATAATGCGTACCTCGTCTTCGTCGTTGAGCGGCCATCTGTATTTGATCACTCCCGAAGGTCCTCTTACGCGGCGCTTTTGCAAACACGGAGTCGTTTTGACAAAGTCCCAAGTACCCTCGAAGAAGATGTTGTTGTAGTCGTCCAGAGAGTTCATAGACGTTACCGTCAGGTGTACTTCGACTATGTTCGAGGTGGATTTGATGTTCATAGGAAGAGAACGATTCGAGCAAAAGCAGTCGCGTTGAACGGCGGGTGCGTTAGGCCATGGGAGATCGAGTACCTGCGGGAGTGCCAACGGGAGTACGTATTACGTAGGTTATTCGGATATCGAACGATATCGACGATGTGAAAATGAATCTGTCGAGACGAGATTGATTCGCGCGCACCGGAAACTCCGAAACCGAAGCTGCTGGGCTTTGCTTTGGAAACATTTAGATACGTCTATTTTACGGTCGAGAGAAGATCGGCAAACTTTGTTCGTCTCTCGAACTTGGTTGAATGACCCTACGGCGGATCTTTGCTGCTGCGTTGGACACCGGTACCAAGGACTGAGAATGCCAACTCGGAATATCATTCGTGATATCATTCGTGACATTAGGAAAATATGATTGAAAACGTTGGCCATAGTCGGAATTAGTAGTTGGAAATAGCTGGAGGAGGCAGGTTTATACTTACTTTGAGAGAGAAGTTATCGGATCCGATGCAAAGGAGACGATTGAAATCGGAAGAGGAGACGCTGCGACAGGTTCGGTTGCCGTTGAGAAGTCTGTTGAACCGCAGCTTGACGACCTCGTCGTGTTCACCCTCGAAGCGGTACACGCAGCTGCAAAATCCGTTCCAGGCTGCACTTTCAGCGACTTAATCGAATTTACATGCTTCGTCGGTTACCCAAAGGAACGGACTTTGGATCGATAACTGTGCAGGAAGATTACGAGAGGAGCATCGCCGATGGATCTTTGTTAATCGGATCTTTGTTAATCGGTAAACGAGCCGAGCGATTTTAATCGACCCACATTTATCGATCCTTCTCGTTTTTCCTAAGAGAAGGAAACTGTTGGCGTTGCTGCGCCGTATCCGCGAACGGAAAGCTTTGCTTAAGCTACGCAATCGCCCGCCAAAGAGCCGATACACCGATAAAAATTGCTCGCGAGCAGTTTTACGGCCCTCGTAAATCTTCGGTATCGCGATTGTAAGAGATATTTTATGAGCTTCTGGGCTAAAATTCATGGATATGTTCGGTAAGCGTCGATAAAGCGCCGGCTACTCGTTGTTACGGCTTTGCTCTTCTCGTTTGGTGTTAGAATCGCGCTAAACCGTGCGCGTTGGCGTATTTTATTCTACCGGATCGATTTGGAAATTGGAAACTTACCTGAGATTTTTCGATCCGCCTCGACCAAAGAGAAAAATGTCGCGAGGTCCTTGAAATCTACGATCCGGGTAGGTGTCGCGATTCCTGCTGTAGAAAGCGCGCGAACACGGGCCGCTGCCGTAAGCTTCGCCATCCTGATGGAGATCGACGAACTCGTACAGAGCTCGGAAGTTGACGGGCCTTCGAGAGAAGAAACATTGAAAGGCCGCCGTGTTATTATAATAAAAGACGCGGACGATGGAATGGATGCTTTCTGGTGGAAACGATTAACTAGACCGTATGATGCGTCCTCGTGCTTTGTTACTTTTATTTTCTCTCTCTCTCTCTCTTAACGTAAGAACGTTCTACCGTAAGAGAGCTAGTAGAACGGTTGAACGCACCATTTCGCGGTATTACAATGTATGAAAAATAAAATGCGGATAACGCTATCGGCGATGTTGATCGGCACAGAAAAATAACGATAATAAACTCACCTCAGAGCGGTAGATTCGATCATGCGCATCTCTATGGTCAAGCTGTTGCTGGAGGATACGAAGCTTTCTCCGAGGGAACAAGGACGACTGACATTTTGAAGAATCGCATGGTCGCAAGTTCTCGGAACCTTGTCTTTGCAATACCTGGCAAGGAGAGTCGTATTGTTGGCGGGACGTGTGGCAACTAGCGAAGTCGCTTCTCCGAGTTTATCTATGTACCGTTGACGTTCTTTCTCGCTGAACAGATTCCAATAATATATATTTGCGCGCGTATACACACACACACACACACACACACACACACACACGAGTCCGTATGTAACTCTTAAAATTCAACATAGGTTTAACCATAAAGCACCTACCAAGCTTCGTTGCACTCCCCAAGGGGCATCATTTCTCCGTCCCAAACCATCAGAGTCGTCGAACAATCCTCGTCGGTGCCGGTAGATGCGGTGATGCCAACGTGAAACTTTAAAATCGACAACCAGACGCGAAACTGTGGTTGCGGTGGGGCCGGTGCCGGTCTTCGCCATACCGTGCCAGGACGTTGCTCTGGGAATTTTGGTAAAGGACGCGGAGGCGTAGGGCTGGGCAAAGTAGGTCCGGCACCGCGTAAATGATAAAGGCAGCTACTGTTTCTCGGTAGAGAATGACGCGGAGATTCTAGTACTCCTCCGCTGTTACCTTTCAACCAAAATTCGCAACGCTTGTTCTTCGCGTAGGTCGGGGAATCGACGTCGACGAATTTTACCTGAAAAAGAAGGACTCTCTGTCGTAGAAAAAGGACTTCATTTACGAAACGAACTTTTTGTTTGACTCGTGATAAATCTACCTGGACTTCTAATTGGAATCCGTGCAAGGAACGTTGCGGCGTCGGATGTAGAAAAGTACCGTAAGGGGAGGTTGTGAACTCGACGAGAATTTCTGGTCCGCTACTCGTTGCCTCGGGCACTGGTTCTCCGCCACCGCAAAATTTCAGTATCACCGGATCCCTCGTGGTATAACCATCGTAGACCGTCACGTAATCCTAAGAAATACGAAATTCCTTGTTATCTTATCTCTCGCTATCGTAATCTACGAAAGAAACAGCTTGCACCGGCGAGACTTTTCAACAAAGTCTCCGGAGTCGTTGAATTTTCTTATAAAATAACATTTCCTTTTGGAAGCGAGGCGAGAGTAGAAAAAGAAATTAACGATTTGAAAAAGTATCGCGAAGATTGGTATGTAAAGTACTAAGGTTCTCTGTAGGACGGTCACGTAGGATCGTTCTCCATCTCCGTTTCTACTTCCATGTTGATTCCACGAGAGTATCAACTCTAGCCCTGCCTCGAATTTATAACGTTTAATCCAATTTTCGCAGCTTCCTTTTACGTACCTGAATGACGTCGCAATCTTGCCAGAGGTGGAGTTCGCGTGGCGGGGATTCGGCTTGCGTCGCTGGTCTGGACCTTACGGCAACCAATTGACCTCTCGGTTGTCCGACCGAAATTAAGGCGTATTTCCCCGGCGGTACCTCGTGCTGCCTTACCTGCTCGACATCGAAACCTTTCGATCAACTTTATATTTTTATCGCGGCAAGTTACCTATGACTCGTAGGATCGATATCGCGCGATATTAGTTCCATTTACGGAAACATAACATTCGTTTCCTCCTAAATGACTTCAAATTGGCTGCTTACGGTATTCAATAGAGTTGAAAAGTTCAAGTTTTTTTTTTCAAAGGAGTTTCAGCTCGATACGAATACATATTTAAAAGGTCGAGTTTTTCGTTTCTCCTTCTTACTCGAGCTTTGGACGGACTTACCGCGTAGTAACAGGTGAGATTACGCGGATAAAGGCCAGGAAAGTTCGGAGATTGCAGTCTGCACTTCTTTTGGTCGCAATCGCTGAATATCCTGGAGCAGTAAGTGCCGGAGATGAGATCCCCGAGGTACTGCTCCGAGCTTGATTTCGTTGGGATCACCGCGTGTTGTTCGACCATCAGCATCGCCATGGAAGTATTAGCGTATTCGGCGGTCGGCCTGTCTTCTGTATTCGTCGTCGTCGTCGCCGCCGCCGACGTCGTAGTCATCGCCGTCAACGTCGCCGAAGTTGTCGCCGTCGTCGTTGTCGTCACCTGCGTCATTCCTGACCACGTGGCATTTTTATTTGATTTCATTTGATTCCATTGGACAATTCGTTTCTAAGAAGATCGCGTACCTACGAAAGGATTCCCGTAGCGTACAACGGCGTCGGATTTTCTAATCATTTTGTATGCCATTCGAAAATCGAAATTGAATGCCTTTTGATCCTTGCTGAGTCGGAGAAGTTTGAGAGTTATAGAGACGGTGGACGTCTCGCTGTAGTAAATGGCTGGATCCCTCGTCGTGCCGCACCAAAGTCCTCCTACGTCGGGACGTTCCGCTTCCGAGATTTGCAACGATCCGTCTGGGCATCCTTCCGCGGTGAACGAAACGAATTTGCCAAGTGTGAAGCTGTCGAAGTTGAGCTGCGAAAGGAAGAATACTCGATAATCGACGCGTTATTAAAAAATTCCTGGAAATTTATTAGAGCTGGATTATCGTAGCGCGACGTTACTCTTCCTTGGAACGTTTAATTTCGATCGATGAAGCGAATTCGCTGACGCTCGCGTCCCCTCGCCTACTCTATTCGAATAGTTGCGGTACTTTGTTACGCTTGCTTTAACAAGCGCGAAACTTTGTCCTATCGTATTTTGTCTTAAATTGCTCGTGTTAGTTAACGCTACGTGCTCTAAATGCTTGCTGCGTTATATTTATTTTCCCATAGATCAATGTCTCCCCTCACCTGTATTATATCCCCGAGATCTCCGCCGGGTGCGCTAAAGGTAAGCTTGCAAATGTAAGGCACCTTGTCTTCCTTCGGTCGATGCAATTCCAAACTGTAGGTTTTTCCTACATCGCCAAAGTACGTTTTGTTGCAGGCTGAAAGAAGAAAAGAATTTGGGAAAATGTATTCTTTTGAATATTGCAACGAAGATTTTCTCTTATCTCGGTGCCGCGGAGGCATTGTTCTTATTTAAACGATAAGATATTGAAAAAGATTGAAACTTCGCTCTCGATCGGATTATTTCGCGGTTGAATTTTCTATCCGAGTTGTACGTGGCCCTCTCGCACTGAATTTATAACGAAGAAAACGCGCGAAGAACTTTATTCCGCCACTCTATGAGATTAGATACGTTCGTGCTTGAGAATCGCAATGTGTCGGTGGTCCATTATACATATTATATATCCTACCCATCTATAAATGCAGTTTCTCTCGTGTCCAATCTAAGGAATGGATCGAATTTTTAATTAGTTATATCAAGCCTGACGATAGATGTACTTTGCTCGCAAATAGATGTTATCGGAAACGGATAGGCAATGGAGCACGATTAAGCTAATAGAGAATTCGCGTTTTGTTCGATCGATGTAATCTGCGGTTCGGCTTTTCACAGGATGCCAGACGAATAGAGAAACGTTTCGTTCTCGATGATGGCTCGTTGCTTTGGCTTCGGCCATCGTACCTACTCGAATCGCGTCAAGTCGCGTCGATTCGCGTTGAAGGGCTTCCGCAGGCTAGTCGTGACCAAACAGCCCCCGAGGCTTCCTTCCTCGACGGAGGATTCCAACCAAATCGAAAGTCCGAACACAGAGAAAGCGGGTTGCGTTCTGCGTCCTGCGTCCTACGTCCTGCGTCCTACGTCCTGCGTCCTACGTCCTGCGTCCTACGTCCTGCGTACCACCGAGTACGTACCGAATACACAATGGCATTTCTAATCAACGACCTAATTCCAATTCTCAATTACAAGTAGGCTTTGTTAATCGACGAACGTTGGCCGTTTCGCTATTCCGAGTCGACGATCGATCGATCGACCTAATCGGAAACGTCCCTTCGAATAATGATCGAACGAGGAATATACTTTACTTGCGATCGTTACCGTCCAGTTCACTGCGTCTTTTACTATAAATCTTGAAAATTCCGAGGGCATCGAACTATTCCTACGGATCTTGGGAATATTTCTCAAAGGACAGACGACGAGTACCTAATAAATCTAAGGTGTCCGTTTCATTGAATTATGAGAGATATGGATCGTCGTAGATAGAATGTTTGCGTTTCAAGAGAGATAGTTCGATGAGTTTGACTAATGGCCGATGTCCATGGCTCGATAAAATTCTTCAAACAACCCCTTTTATTTATTTATCCGATCTTTGTCGTTTTTTTTATTTTTACAATTTGTCACGAATCAACGTGTAAAAAGGTTCAATAACGTATTCGTGGTGCAGAAATTCCATGCAATGAAGTTTTCAGAGAGGATAGGTCCTTTTGTGTTGAAAGTCGTAGCGGTTTATACGACTCTGATGCGTCGCCGGGGGCGTGCAAATGTGCAAAGCAAAAGCCGGAGAGAGAGAGAAAGTTGCATTTTCCGAAAAGATACATTCCGACGACAGTCGGTAGTATTCGAGAATCGTCGTTACAGTTGTAAGTCATGTCTTTCCTTGGTGTTGTCTCTGAATTGTCTCTCTCTCTCCCAAAGGTTGTGCGCGCTATGGAAACAACAGGATACGAGAAACGTCCGAGCGAAGGATTTTTATTGCTCGCCGCGGGCTCCTAGTCGTCGCTTGCGACTAAACGTATCGATCCTGCTTTTTCGTATTTCGGAAAAAACCTACGTAGGTGTATGCACGCGTATTGCGACTCGACTATTTATAAAGGGTATCTATAAAAGTATCAAAATGAAATATGCCACCTATAGGCAAACCTATGGAGAAATGGAAGCTGCGCGTTATCGCCGCTGACATGGGCGATTAATTCGAGCCAATTCGAAATGGAACGTTTCGTTTTACTTGCAGTACATTTTTGCTCCATTTCCGTTTGATTTTCAAACCCTACAAGCGATTTTCTTATAAAATATCTAACTTCTAGATACGCGCTGTTATAACACGCAGACGCATAGATTTGATCCTGAAAGAAACATGGACGAAAGCAAAAAGTTAGAAACGTACGTAAATTGTAACAGATTCGTCGAGGGGTGAAATTCACGCGGATTTTCTTTCTCTAATCTAAAGGTTTTATAGAATTCACAGTAGCTTTTCATATTTATCGTAAAAACGAAAGGAAAAAAAAAAGAAGAGGATGAATTTGACGCGTCGTTACACCATTCGATTCTCCTTCCACGTATATACACTGACAAAAGTACTCTCTTCAGAGACTGTATTAAGTACGCGACGTCGCGCGAAACCAGGAAACTGAGAAACACTGGCAAAACTTTTCAACTTGGACTTTCTTCCGCTTCGCATAATTCATGCACGCGGATGCGATTATTACGTTGGATTTATCCTACGGCTTTCAATCATTTCGTTTCCGATGCAATTCAATAACTTTACAATAATGGGGGGTATTACGTAGCTGTTATCGAACGAATAATAAGTACGATACGCGCACGCATACACGGTCCAATGATCCAAGTAAACTAAAGACAGGAGTTTTTGTTTGGAGTTGGAAATTGTAATGTTTGCTTTGGCGCAATCGCGACTTGTGCAATTTACAGGAAAGGAGGTGGACGTCGTCGTAGAACGCGGTGCTCTTCTCGGGGTTGCTTTTCAACGCGTGCGTAGACAGCCTGACGAAGAATGCTCGGTGAAAGCGAGCGAATATCCTTTTCAATGGGCCGACGAGTGCCCAGAGGCCTCCCTCCCTCTCTCTCTCTCTCTCTCTCTCTCTCTCTCTCTCTCTCTTTTTTTCTCCTCTTCATTCAGCATCCCTTACTTTTTTCTACCTTTTACATCCTCCATATACGCTAGCTCCTCTCGTTGCTTCTCACCCACGTGATCTCCGCCGATGCTCGCGAGATATTCGTTCGCCACGCTTTTTCTATACTTTTCCCTTTTTTTCCTCGTCAACAAGAAGCATCAGCAACGAATCGTTCCTTGTTCGGTATCTAGGTCACGAGATACACCAAAAAAGACAATTATTCGAAAGTTGAAAACACAAAAAAGGCCGAATATTACAAGGAATTTTCTTCAACGAATACGCGTATTCGTTAATGTATTCGAGTATGATCATTTCTATGTAAACGAGCTCGCGAGAAAAAGAGTCTTTTAGTAAGGATGTCATAGATTTTTAATGCGCCGGCGTTACGCTCATCCGCAAGAGATTATCTGTAGAACTCGTTTTGAAGGAAGATTACGTTTGTAGCCAGTTGCTACCGTGTGCTCGTCTCCTCTTTCATACGTATCGTCAAATTGATAAAATAACTGAGAAAAGGCAAGTGAATTTCTCGAGGCTTATCGCATAATCGCCTTTACCTTCTAAATATTTCGAATACGAAAGCGCGAACGGTTCGATGTTTATATGGATCTCCTATATAGTTGTATGTGTTTTTTTTTTATGTTTTAATGAAAAAGTAGAGATTTCAGATACATCGATAATTATCGCGCGTAAACAATGTGTCGATAAAAAAAGATAGGAAGAAAATCAAAGAGGATTTCGAAATACCGACGGAGCAAAGAAACAGAGAAAGTGAGTAAGAGTGGGGGTAGAAACTGGGAGCTGGATACTACGTGTTTCAAGTTGTACTTTAAAACTTGAGATTGAAGCATCGTTCCTCATTTATTTGCACCACGCGAGAACAAAGGCGCAAAGCCAGCGGGTAAATTCAATCCAACATTTTATGGTATCGTATTCTGCATTCCAAAGAGATTGCAATTTTTCCACTAAATTCTATTTTCATCCTGTTGGTTTTTTTTTCTTGGCAAATAGCTTAACGAGATAACCTGTCGTCCTCGTCGTCGTCGAATCCTACTTTGCGAGTAATAACTAAATAACGACAATAAACGCGATAAGATGATAAAGGAAACAAAGTGTTCTTTGATATGTCAATTATTAGATTAGTAGAATAATCTTATTGTTAGTTATAAAATAGCTTGTTTCTTAATATGGTTAGATTAGAAATAATATGGAGGGCGAAGGAATACCTTACGACGACCCACGCTTCGTGGAAATTCTGGAAGCCTGCTTGCGCGTGGAAATTGGCACTTACACGGAATCATACGACAGTAAGAAATAATTCGACTTCTTTCGTGATAACATTATCGTCCGGTCCTCGCTTTTGGCTTGGACTCGCGTATAAAACTGACGTGAAATATTGTCACCATTTTCTTTTCGCAGAAGCTGAGACTGAAATGAAGAAGATAAAAAGAAACGTTCTAATGAAGCTCGAGAAGAGAAAGGAGCTTAAGATAAAGATAAAAGATGCCGAAGACGTAATATTGATGTTGAATCTTGCTTTTCAAAGGTACGTTATTGAAAAATAGATGAACGATTATTACTTACACCTTCTTACTCGTTGTCAGATTGCGAGAAGAATCGAGAGAAACGAAGCAAAGGATCACTTTAATCGAAGCGAATATCGACCATCGTTCTAAATTAATATTCCTAGAGATTAAACGATACAAAAACATTCTAGGAGAATATCAGAAAACTTGGCAAGCTTATCGCGTTAGTAACTATACTCCTATTCTATCCATATTATCTTGATTTTATTGTTTTCTCTTATTTTTGATATCGATGACAGGCCGAATACGAACAATTTCCTTTGGCTAAAAAACGTAACGAAGCAAAAGTCAATTTGAAGAAGATTACCATCGAGAAAATGATTATGGAATTTAAAATAAAAGATTTGGAGAAGAAAATCCAAATGGAAAAGAAGATCGATGAAATTAAGATGAGATTAAAAATAATAGAATTTGTTAAAGCGATGACAAATAATGAAAAATTGAAGCGAACATTAGTCAAGTTGAAGAAGGAAATCGAGTGTTTGAAGAAGCAACAACATTCGAACGAATTGGAGGTTTTTGCGCAATATCATTTCGAAACGCGACACACACGCGATATACACACAGGGTTTTATTTATTCCTTTTCGTTGTCCGTAGTTGAAATCTTTGGAACGACAAGAAGAGGAAGCTAAGAAAGAACGAGCGATGAAATTATTGGAGATGCCCCCGCCGAAAATCAATTTGTCACGATTACGGTTAAATTATTCGCGCAATTGGCAAGACTGGGAGTTTAAAAAACAATCGTCGCAGATCGATGCTGGTATCGTCTTTTTTGATTTGCTGTAACGTACGCGGGAATAGAGTTATTTGAAAATGATCCCTTTGTTTGTAGATTCGATGTCGGTTAATACGATCGCTTTGGAGGAGATGTGCATAAGGGACGAAACTCTCGATGGTACGTCGAAAAGAAATGATTGGAAAAACGATCAAAAACGATCAACGAGCAAAATAACCACGGAGAAGTCGTCTACGCCGGTAGCAACGGCTTTGCAAAAGATTCACAGTAAGAATTATCCTTTATCGACGTCCTTTTCGAGCAACGTCGGATCGATCGCAAAACAAACGAGTTTCGAGCAAAAGAATAAACATAATCGACACACGACGCCAATGTGCATAGAAGAAGAATGCTTAGCTAATTGCAACGAAAGTAATGGATTCGCGAACGATACATGCGAACCCAAGAGGATGAAATTGACTCACAACGACGAAAAGAATGCTGAAAATATTGATTCGGAAATATTGGAAACTCCGAAAAGATCTACTCTTCATCCACGAGTTACGAAGATCGAGAAGGTGCAATACGGTATCACGCCTTCGATCAAACGTAAAAATACGTTTAACTTCTCCAATACTTTTGATTACGAAACGAATGCGAGCCGTGCGTCTTCTTTCGCTTTAAACGAAGCTCTGATGATCAAAGGTATTCGTTATTTTTTCATTCTCTTTCAATTAGTACCGATTAAATTAGTGCTTCATTTATCGTATTATTGTCGTTTAGACTTAAACGCTTCGAGATCGATACAACCTTCTATGTACGGCGACAATTCGAGAAACTTTCAAATATCCGATTGCGGAAATGCTTCAAATATAGGCGATTTCGATGTAAATATGGATTCTATCGATGCGGATTGCGATCAAATCAATTGCAAGAAAAAAGAGAAAGAAGCGTCGCCACAAGTGACATCTCGTAAGTATATACAATATAGTATTTATAGACATATATAGAAGTACATCGGTAATCATCTTTTTCCGTAGGTTTCAATTTCTCCGATCTGCTCAAACTGAAGGCCGATAATAATTTTCGTCTCTTTTAAGGTACCACCACGTATTTTCTTTCCTACTTCGTAGCTGTATTTTTGGTTAATTATTTTCTTATCTAAAGATTATCGTTACGTTCAATTGAATTATTAATAGACATAACTAAATGTAAAAGATATAAAACAGAGTGTTCATTAAGAGGGAAGAAAAATTTCATTTGTCAGAGTCCCTATGCAAGCACCGACCATATTAAGTTTCACTATCGAATAAAGTAATACGATATATCTTACGTAAACTTGGATATAACTTCATGTATAAGCGATACGTATTATTTTATGAGACATTCGATACTCACCGAAATACAGGAATTGTGTGTTGATATTGCTATGATTACTTATTAATGTGATCGATGGGTTTTGTTTTTGTTCTCACGTACAAGTGGTTTCGAAAGAAATGCTTCGTTAAATATGGAAAAGATCGATTCGTCGTAAGAACGAGTAAGCGAACCAACTGTTGTCTTCTCCCTTTTTCCTTTTCTTTTCTCGCAGAAGCTAGTAGGACGAGATCAGGCGAACGAGCAAGTTCTTTTGACCGATGTTCCCTGAGCCGGAAGCGATCGATGAAATCGTTCAATACCACCAGCAGTGTCCTTATTCAAGGAACAACGCGAAGCATCCCTTCCTTTTTTCTTATCTTAATCTCTTGCCGCATCATTCCACCTTTTTTCGACTGTTAAGAAATTACGTTACAACTTTTGCCAATCGTATGATCTTTTTGCAGAGTATTTAATACACTGTTTAGACATTAGCTCTCGATGCGAAAGCTGACCGTAACGTATGACACATCGTACAGTTAGACTACCGTTGGTTGGAAAGTTAGCAACTGCCGCAGCGATTAAAATGTAACAGACGTACGAGTGGTAGAGGATATTCCGAGCATAAACTTGACTGCAACATCCAAAGGTTAGCTCCCGGCGATGTGTTTGAAAACGTGACGCGTTATCTTTGCCCGTTGCAGCGTCCAAACAATTTCAAACATTTTCCGAATATTTTTCAAAATACTTCCAAATTTACGACAATGTAATGCAGGGTGAGTTAATTAGTGAGTGCACGACGATTCCCTTTTCGCAAGCGGAGATCCTAGCGAAAGCCTGCAGATTAAACTGGTACGACGACATTGCCGACGGCCGCAGCAAACGCATTCGCTAAATTCGGTGCAACGTTTTATCGCTACGATGCCGACGGAACGCTGCTTCCTAAGATATCGAAGCGAGTTCATTTTCTTACCAAGCCTGTGCTCTCTCGACTCATGAATTTTCGGCAAATCCTTCCACGAATTCCAAGCGTCGAGTGTATCTAGTAGACGACTTTTTACATGCAAAGTTCTTAACTTGCGTAACAATGATATACCCCCTCCCCCCCGTTATCATATATAATTTCTAATTAAAATTGATTTATTATCGTTCATTTGGGAGATTAAATTTCGCAAAGTTTCAGTACGGAATAGGAAAGATCGGTGCATCGAAGCGTGCGAGCATTGTTACCGAAAGACATTGTTTAACGTACCGCTTTGCTGCGCTGGAAGGAAAAGGTGCTTCGTGAGGAGACGAGAAAGGGGCGACTAAGGGGCGACTAAGGGGTGACTAAGGGGCGACTAAGGGGCGACTAAGGGACGACTAAGGGACGACGAAAAGCACGGTCAAACCGACCCCCATTTTATCACGATCTGTCGATAACACGGCCATTCGAGCAAAGAAAACGTCCATCGTCTTTTACAAATAGCTCGATTCTGTGCTTTGGATGGAAAAAAATGGGGCAACAAAAAATGGATCGCATTAGTCTCGGGGTTGCGTCGCGCGTCTCATTCGCGGTTGATTTTTCTTCGTCAATTAAGCGCGTAGAAGCGGAAAAATATTCGTTGGATGTCGTTTCGGGCAACGGCGTTTCTACTTTGTAAGCGAGCACAACAATCCCATTAGCAGCATCGTCGGTGCATTACCAGAGGGACGCGTCGCTCGTCCAGAAACCGCGAGCGGAGGTTAAATCGCGTGGAACCTCGTTTCACAACGGACTGCAGATTCGAATTATTTACGGTAAATCGTAGAACGATGTTACCGAACGAATTTGCTTTGTTCGATCGCATTTACACAACGAGCCGGATGAGAGATGCAGAAATTAAATGCAAAAATTCATTTTCTAAGTTATACAGAATCTTAAGAATAATCGGCCAAATACCTTCTCGTTATACTTTAGACCCGGCTCGGTCGTATTTAATAAACTCGAAATTGGTATCTATCGGGGGAAGTTTTAAAACAAGGAAGGAATATAGAAATGCGATACGAAAGTAGTCGATATTAAATTGCGGCTTTGTAATAAATAATTAATAAAAAGGAGACGTGTTGTATGAATTTCGTTCGGTCGGAAATTATATCGGTTCAATGCCGCAAATCATAAATGGAATTCTCATTAACGGAAAATGGCAACGCAGTTCCGCAATAAAATTCGCCTTTACAAATGACATTCGTTAATTATCATTATCATTGCGATTATATAATATATGCTTCTTCCGCGCGTTTTGTTTCCAAGATTCGACCAGAATACGAAAAGGAAGAATAATATGTTAATATTATAATTGATCTTATAATCGGTGTTGGTAGTAAACATCTTTAAACGAGAAGGATTAATTCGTAAAGTAATTGCTCGCCTCGATCGTTCTTGCAAATAATGAAGAAAGTTCCGTTGATAGGCTTAGGATACGTTCTATAGCTCGTTCCTTTTTATTCCTGTTGAAAATTAAGGATCGAATGGAATATGAAAGAACGGCTCGGTACTTGAGCGGGCTTGCAAAATCGATGAACGTATGAATATTAACGCTTTCGCATTGCCGTCCTCCTCCCGTGTTTGCATAAATCGATACGTTCGCCTAATGTTTTTTTCTTTTGTAAAGAAGAAAATAAGGAAAGGATAGCGTATGCCGATATCGATAACTCACGCGAACATTGACGGACTTCGTCGCTTCCGTCTCCGCAGTCGTCGACGACGTTGCAAATCTTGTTCAGCGGGACGCAATGGCCGTTGTTGCATTGAAATTCGCTTCGCCGGCAGGAAAGGACCGCCGTCGCCATTAGAACGCAGGAACAAATCAGCCAGTTCACGTCTGAAAAGAAAAACAAAATAGAATTTTGAAGGATCGTGACATTTGGCAGGAACGCAAGAGGCGACGCGGGTTTCGAGTAATGAAAGTTTAACCTCACGCCTGCTAAAGCGTTCATTCTAAACGAGCATTAGCGTATTGTTCGAATTCACGAGTACTACTACACTCCACCTTTTATTTCGTCCGGCTTTCGTCCGCGACCTCGCCACAAGAGCCGTTCCTTTTCATTCCTCGTTCTAGTCTTTTTATTAGACGTTACATTCGTAGCAACAAAAAATACACGACCTCGTTTACATTCGCCTACTTACTCGGCTTTTAATGCCGACCGTCCGAGATTGGTGCGCTGACTGAGTTAATTGCGTCGATCTGTTTGATCTCGTTACCGGGATATCTGTGATTTCAATGTCGCTATCGATTATTCCAAGATGATGCGACGACACACCTTCCGAACCGAAACACCGAACCGAAACACCGAACCGAAATCAAATTCGCAAATAAGAGAGACGTAAACTATTGGGTCGATTTCATTTAGAAATCGAGACTCGGTTTGTTTTTAATTCCTATTTTCCCGAGAGGAAATCTATATTATTCCACTAATAATGTTCAATTAAAGAAACGCAAGTATAATGCATGGTAACAATGGCGAACGTTGGCAAGCTTCCACTGGCTTCCACATGGAATATATCGATCCGATTCGTATCGGGTTAACGCACGGCGCCGATAAATTCGACGTAGCCGTTATTACCGTGACCGGTAATAAGTCACGGGACGAACGGTAATAAGCGGTGTCGCGTATGCCATTCAACTCTGAAACGTCCATGATCATTCCGTTCTACTAGATTTTCTCTGCTGGTTCGCTATTTAACGCGTCGGTTCCATATCGATAACGTAGAAATCAGCTTAAATCGCGAATCTATGATCTACCGTATCGTTGCTTTTTCAATCTACGCGTACATATTTCTTACGAATAATAATTTATCGCCAGGGAAAGAAACCAAAATCGAATCGCGTGAATTTCATTTGACGTTACACCATCCGTATTTATATTTTCGGACTCGACAGGTTCCATTGTTGCGAGACCAAGTCGAAAGGATATTCTTTGACATAAATATGCAAAGAATCAATCCGGATTGCGTCGGAAGTATTACTTACTTATTATAAAGAAATAAATGCAAATATATCTTTCGACTAATAAGAAGACATACGATTCGCGATGTGTACAGAGTATCTGCACCCTCGTATATAGGGGGCTATCGAAAAACTTTTTCTCTTTTTCTTTTTTTTTTCGTCCGCGAGCGTGCATCCTCCAGAAGAGGTACTACAACTTTTCTACTCCAAAGTATCGAGAATCGCCCAGCAGGCAGCAGACGAGGAGAAATTTCTTCTCTTTCTTTTTTCTTCCGTTTTCCCGATGCCCCCCCTTACCTTTGCGAAATATCTTTTGTTAGGAGAAGTATCGAGTTACAGTCTATTCCGCGCGACCAACGTGTAAGGGGCTTTGCGTTCGCGGAGAAATGAAATTGAAACCCGTCGGCGAGTATCTCGTTTACGGGAAAAATACATGTTTATGACTTTTTTCAATGTACTTTGGTGAAATAGGAAATTGCGAAATGAAATTTTTTCATTGTTCCGTAGATGTCAAAAGTCGATTCGACGCGAAACTCTGACTAGTCAGCAGAGTTCATTGAAGGGCTACCGTAATTGCTCGGAAAGTCCGAGCATTTCGGTATCTAAGGATAAGGAGGCAAAGAGGAAGATAGATGGATGGAAAGAGAGTAGGAGCGAATTCTCGATTGGAAAGCTCGTCGTTGGAATATCCGGAGGCGTCGGACCGAACTCGAGTACTCGCAAGTATTACATAGATATCGATTGCAGCTACCTAGAACCATCCTTCTCGGCTTACGATTAAATTGTTCTGTCAGCGATGTACCAGTCAAATCTCCCTCCCTTTGCGTTCGCTTTGCCGATTTGCCGAACATTCGAGATTAACGTCGTTTATTACTATACCGAATTATGTAGATGAAAACCTCGATTGAAAAGCTCGTACGGATCTGCGTAACGTTGAATTATAACTTGTCTCGTGCTTTTTTTTTTTTATGATTATTTCCTTTTCCTTAGCTTTTGTTCGCGTTATAGATAATAGTAAAGTAAAAAAGGATAATGCGCGGGAACAACAACAACAAAAGTCTCCAGGGGGAGAAAGCTTGAAAAGGTAACGGCCTTTTTAACTCGGAAATATTTTTTTCCTATTTCTCTCGTCTTCCTTTACTTTGCAGATTTCGCTCAAGAATAATGATTTTCACAGTCGTGGAATCGTGGCAACCGCCGCATCGGTTCGTCCAAAAGAAAGCTCGTCGTGCGATAATGGCTTTCTGAAACAGCTTTCCTCCGGCTTTCTTTCGACTTTCGTGTTTCGGAAAATTCCCATCGCAAATAAAAGGAAACCCCGTAGGAGCTCGATATAATGAGACGCGTTCCACGTTTTTCTCCATTTCTATTCTCCAAAGTTATCAAGTACTTAGCTAATTTATAACGAATCGAGTAAAAAGCGGTAGCAACGATGATCACAGGAGTAATATCGATTAATGACAAATAATGAGTTTCTTTCGTCGAATCATTTGATTAACAAGTTTGGCAAGGTTTGACAAGCGTGAAAGAATCTAGGAGACCGAGTAATTGACAAATTGTCGGAATGTAAAAGCTGGTGGAAGGCGGCACTTTCGTTGGCTTCCGTTAGCCTTTACGGACGAGATAGCTTTTATCTCTAGCAACCGGTAGACCCTATTAATCTCATTATTTTCGAAAGCTTCGCGTTTTGTCATAAAAGCACGAAGGATGCTCATTTCGAAAATTTCATCGAATAATAAAATCGCGGCCACGTTCGAGGTAAGATATTCCATTAACTAGGTATGACATTTGTAGAGAAAAATAATAGTTCTCATCTATTTCGTCGTGGTTGTAGCTCCGCTGGCATAATCGTGATTTCTGTTCTGGCAAAACGCCATGTTGTCCCTGGCACGACGGCGAACTGGAAATCGGTCGCGTGGATTAAGGTCTCGGTTAAAAAATCTACTGCACTCCGCTAATTAAAGAAAAATCTATAATTTAGCGTTGTTTATTCGCTCGGTGAAAAGTGAAGTTTGCGAATATCGAAAGAGATACACCCCGAAACTCGTTTTCCTTTGCTCGCGTGGTTGCGCCTAACGAAGTGGGTGCTAAGGATAATAAAATTCCAAGATGTCGACAAGGTGTCATTAGAATCACGGGCGACGGTGCCTCGTCGAGAGCGAGGAAGGAAGAAAGGCGGGCGGCAAGGGGGCGGAATGGAATGGAAAGGAAAGAGGAAGAGTCGAGAAGAGCCTCATTAATAATGCAAGTAGGGGCTCGATGTCGACCGACACACGGGAGAGACACATTTTGTAATTATTTTCCTCGATCCGAAAGATAAAAGAAGACGAGTCTAGCAGCTTGAAGCTCTCTCGATCGATTTTTCGGCAAAAACAAAATGCGGAAGTTGTGCGCAAAGGGTCGGCTCGCGTAGGTTGCAAGCAATTTATTCCACGTGTCCCTTTCTAGTCCTTAGGGGTAACGCCATAATACCCCGCGAACAATTACCAATATGGATAGTCGATAGATTATGTTTGTAAGACGAGGATCGTTCGTTTATACGGAAATTGATTTCGGTCTTCGAAATTGAAAAGGGCTGTGTTTCGAGCGAACGTAAACATCCGTATAATGAAGTAGGCTCGCGAAAATTTGTCTTCACGTACGAGAGAGCGATCTTAAATATGTTCGCCGAGCGGCGGCCTATTTCTATCGTCAAACCGTATATGTTAGAGGGTGAAAAAGTCAATCTCGAATTGGCGATCGCGTTCGGCCAAATGGAACGAACGCGATCCCACATTGTGTGCGTATCGGGGCCTCTGTGATTCCAAACTACGATTAATCGCTATCGGCTATCGATGTCACGTTCGCTCGAGTTTACGTTAATAATGTTTCGCGCATAAATGAACCAAAAAAAAAGTCAAACCAATCTCGTCATGTTGCCTCGGCCCAAAAATCACGAGATTCTTCGTTATTTCCTTTCCCAATATCAGCCGATAAATCGTTCCGAAATTGGAAGAGAACTCGAAGAAAGAAGGACGAAAGTAAAGGAAAAACTTTCGATGCAATCTCGAAACGCTTTCGTCTCGTCGTCCTTTTCCAAGAAACTTGGATTTATCGACGCATCGCTAGATCTTCCTCCGAGAGCTTTTATCACTTCCATTCTCTCTTTCCCTCTTCTTCTTTTCTCATCTCTCTTCTTTTATCCAACAAAAAAGATCGACCTGTCATAGTCAATCATTCTTTGCTCATCGAATTTCCCTCCCACTTTGTCGAACGCGTGTTCCTTATTTTTAGCACTGCGCCGTAAGTCTAAATTCATTTTTAACCGAAAGCGTCCTACGTTACAACAAAAATCAGAGAGAAAAAAAAGCGAGATAATATGGAAATTCCTCCCTTTAAAGTATAGAATATCGGAAACTAACTTTTCATCGTTGCGATCCGTACCTAATTAAAGCTCGTCCAATTAGGTTCGGCGCTTCTAAGCAGATCGACGTCTTTTCTTTTTTCCCCACTTTTCCTCGCTACGAGATCAACGGTAGTTGCGCGAGCTCCTTGCGGGGGAGGAATCGTTAACCGTTGATTTTGCTGAAAAAAAATTGACGAGGGATGGCGAATCGAGCGAAAAGGAGAGAAAAAGTGCGAGAAGTAGGTCGGAAGTCCGTGGTAAACGCTTGGCTCTGGCTTTCTTACTTTTCTTCCGAGTTTAAGGGGCTGAGAGAGAGATAGAGAGAGAGAGAGATAGAGAAAGAGAGAGAGAGAGAGAGAGTAAAGCCTAAGGGTCTGGGAGGTTCGAGCAGTGTCTAAAAATAAGTAAATCGATAAGACAATATTACGTAGCTTCCTCTCGGATATACCTTTTAAGAAGAATAATGGAGTAAAGAAGGTAGAGAAAGACG